ATGTATTGTACTGACCTAGTGATTAAATGAAGAAAATTATTTTTCTTGCTAGTATCATTCTTATGTTACTGTGGTGACTTTTTTTAATAACTATATGACACCTGTTTTTCATATCATTTACTCAGATCACAAATACAAGTTCGCCTGTGATGTTGTGTTTATTTGTTGCATTTGTGTATAACTGTCAATAAAATGCAATGATTTTGTGAAAATTTCAACTTATATGTTGTCCATTTTAATACTTTCTTTTGTCATCTTTCCTGTCATTTAAGTCAGATCTGATCACAATGAAACTTACATTTGTGAATGCTATCCATTAGTTTCTATAGCATCATTTTCATATGTAAATAAATGAAGAAAATTAACTTTATGATCAAACTCGAGACTTTTGAATTAGTTACTATAAATTTAGTGAAATTAAAACAAAGATGCAGGCAAGTCTAATGTTCTGATATGCCATCCATCAGTAAATGAAATGTCAATGATTTTATTTTACTTCTTAATAAATAAAGTTTAATAGTAAAACATTTATAAAGAAAAATTGGTTGCAGTTATAAAGCTTTTGTTGTTCAAACGGATCTCATGAAATGACCAGTCAAGTAATTGATGTAGCCTGTTTAACGCGACCTTTGCTGCGGAGTACGTCCTCCGGGCGAATTTTGCTTTGCAAGCGTCATCGGCTCTTAGCTTGGCAAATTCAACATGTCAGTTGTACGTACATACTTTTTCTTTATAAAGTGAAAAAAGAACAAGCCTGTAGCTCAAAAAATGTGTAAGTTCAGCTATTTTTCAAGTAAAGAAATCGCTGCTCTACTTCCTTGTGGTCTCCATATTTTAACCCCACCTCAAGGCAGATCTCGTAAAATCACAGGGAAATTTGGTCTTCTCGTTGAGAACCCGGACAGCCTCTATTGCTATGTCTCACAAGTGAAACAGGCTTAGCCTATTTTTGAAGTTTTAACTCTCTTAAGTTTTAATTTTCTCTTATTCAAAACAGGCCCGGTTTTGTTCTCCCCCGGTCAGTGACTGAGGACGAGGCCCTGAGGCAGGTGGACCAGGTCCCGGAGGATTAACTTAAACCCGCCTTTGTGGACGGTGTCACACAGCTTATGTCCACCATCCACGCGCAAAGTGAGCCAAAGAAGGTCCGTGGGGAGCGGATGAACAGTAGACGTAAGTGTCCAAGTAATACGTATAATAAGCGGGCCAATGGAATCTGATTTTAAAAAGCTAGTACAAACTTGTCTTCATTTTTGCTGTACCTGTAACTGTTTAATCATGATCATCTCTAATTGATCATCTCTCTCTCACCCCCTCTCTTTTTTATTTGATGATTAACCTATATCGAAAACTAGGTTATGATAGAATTTGTGTTTAAAAAGATGGATTTTTACTTATCATCATTATCACCATCATCATTATCATCAACATGAAGTACCATGCCACTAGACGTTGACAACAAGCCTTTATTTTTCTTTGTCTTTACCAATTTTTAGGGGATTGCTGACCGTATCTGTTTCGAATCAGTGTGTTATGCTATCTAGCACGTGTCTTCTCTCTTTGAGTGCTTTCCCAGAGATTTAGATCGATCTAAAGATTAAGTTTTAGATCGACCTAACTCCCTGGAGGTTCACGCTAAATTGCAGTCAGCCGAGCGGACACCATAGTTAATTACCCCCTTACAGCGTTCAGTAGGCGGGGCAGACACTTAAGCCGGCCAAGCTGACAGTAATCTAGTGAGACTCCCCACAGGGATAGATCGATCTAAAAATCTATGGAAATGGGGTGTTTGTCTTCCACTTCTTTCCCCCAAATATTTCATGTGGTTATGCTGGCTTCCAGACCGCCTTTTCTTGCGCAATGTCCAATAAAAGTACATTGTGTCTTTCTTATTGTACCTGTAGTTACACGTGGCCTGATGGTTGTGTGCTGTGTGTTTTAGTATTCCTCTGTAGCACCAAATTTCAAGTGCATTTGATTTATTTTTCATGTTGCTGCTTATGGTCTTTGCTTCGCACCCGTTTATTATTGTAGACCGTATAACTGTTTCTATCACTTTTAATATTTGTAATATTGACTTTTGGTTTGGTAAGTGTTGATTGTACTTTTTTAAATGATACCTTTGCTTGTCCAATTCTTGCCTGTATGTATATTCGTTTGGAAGGACTTTTGATCCCAAGTATTTGGAACGGTTCACTTATTTCAGCTGCGTGTCTTTAACTTTGATGTTATAAATTGTCGAGAGTGGGCTTTGCGCAACTGTCATATATTACTTCTGTCTCATCTGCATTCAATCAAATTCCCATTCGTTCGCTTTCCGTGTTAATGCTGGTCACTAATACTAATCTAGCTTACCATAAAGACTCTGTGGGAGATGGTCCAAAACCTTCCTTAGGTTTGGTGCTGTTTGTCTATATGATCATTGTGATTTGTACTCCCAGCTCATTTTCATCTCAAAAATGCCAACATGTTGACCTCTGATATTTGTAGGATGATTTCCAGTTTTCATATTTGTTCTTTTTTTTTTTGGTTCCATGTTCCGATGGTACATGTACATGTCATTCTATTCTTTTGTTTGCAGTAAGTGTGCTCCACAGTAGCTTTATGACGTTCGGGTTTCTCGTTGTCTTCTGCAATTGGTTCTAGGCATTTGGCTCAAATACAGCTTATTCGCCCTTTGACAGGTCTTATTCTTCGTCCTGCTGGGTGAGCATCCACCTTCCTCACATTGTCAAAGCAAAGTGAGGGAACCGGTTCAGTCGCCGATCACGAACAGGCAGCTCTGCTCGAAATTTCACTGAATATGTCCAATTTACCTAATTTACTTAACATTCCCATTAGTGAAGTAATTCTTAAAATTGAAGGAGATGCTTAGATACAATGCTATTTTATTCTAGATCTGGTGGAAATCGCCCGTAATTGTGTGCTGGCCTTTCGCCAAGATAAGATCCCATCTGTGGAGAATGCTGTGGTAGCTGTTCGCCAGGCGGAGTGCCTGAAGGCAGTAGAGATGGCGCTGTAGGTCTACAAAGTTACAATGCAAGACACTGTTGAGGAGCTGCCGCTCGCAGAAAATGAGCTTGAAGGAAGGCACAGACACTATTTCGATAACTATGCCGAGAAAGCATTTGCAGAGTACGCCATCTTTGATGATGATGGAGAATTTTACAATCGCATGAATGTGCGTTGCGCGCTCTCTCTCAATTTATTATATTTTATGTTTAACCAATAAAGCTGTGTCAAAACTAATTTAAACCATACCTCGTATGTTATATGTGTTATAAACCTACAGTTTGCACAAAAGTATACGGCTTTATATATATATTCTCATTTTTATTCATTTTCATTTTCTTTCCATGGACTCGTCGCAAGATGTAGCTTCTTAAATATTTTACTTGAATAATTCCAGACAGACGTCGAAAAGGAGTTCACCATGATCAGTCAAAACAACGAATCAGATGCCTTTCAACTGTACAGAGAAATGTTGGATGTTCTCTTTACCAGCATCGTACAGACAAAGATCGACGAAGAAAAATAATCTCATTCCGACGGCCATTTTGACTTCATCCAAGACTTACAGAAGGTCTTTGTCCTCTACGACCAGTACCCTAAGAAGGGCCCCGCCTACTGCGCCCGGCAGGTGAGGGAAGACTTCGAGAACGAGAAGCAGACCCAGACCCAGCTGATTCACCAAACTGCAGGGGCGGTAGCCAAGAAGGAGCAGGAGATGGCGACTGAGCGCGTCCTTATTGAGATGGAGAAACAGCAGAACGCCGAGACAGAGCAGGCCTTGATGGAAACGCTGAGAAAGATAGAAACTAACCGTGAGAAAAGTATGAGAAGACTGGAACAGGAGAGGAGCGAATTGAGGGAGCGGTATGAAGTAAGAATTCGGAGAGGGAACAGCGAGCAGCAACGTGAAATACAAATTAAAGAAGCAGAAGTGCTGAGAATTACCACAGAATTGAAAGACCGCGTGCGTTTGAACCAGGAACAATTAGATGCCCACGGAAACCGCACAAATCAAAATGCTGACCAGATAAGGATTCTTCTACAGCAAAAGAGAAATCTCGAAGAAGGGCTTCGACACGTTCAGAACAGAGGGGGAGGAAGTGGTGGTAAGTGCTCCCTTAACAAACGCGCTGGCTTTCCTGGAAAATTCAGTGCGAAAAATAAAACAATGTAGAGTGCCAATATGTTTTCGAATAATTATATCCCACCGTCATATTTAACATTTTGTATTTATATAATATTTGTAACGACTACAACTATGCTTTTGCATATATCATCTGCCTCTTTGTACATGTAGGTTGTGCTGTGATGTGACGAGTTGCAGTTACTATTTCGTGGTTATTCACTGAACGCTGCTGTGAAAAATCTCATTTTTATCACCCGTGCAAAACACCAGAGATCCAAAATGAGCACATATGATCGACTGGAATTTAGATTTAAGAAGAATGAGGAGAGAGGATGAGATGAGAGAAGTTCCAAAAAAATGGAGGGAAATGCATACGAATTTATCTTTACAGACGATAATACTGTAGATCAATATACGATGAAGTACATTGTTACTATCAACAGGAACTTATTTATAGATTTTAAAATCTTTTTCCACTCTTTTTTCCTTTTTTTCGTGGTCGATTTACTATTTGCACAATGAATCTGTGACTAAATGTAGTATGAAGTGAACTGTTTTATTAAAATATATCCATATTTTTAGTTGTATGTTTGTTTATAAAGTTATAGAAAGTAGATGTATAAATGTGAATGAGAAAAAAGACATTACACACCCGCTACTTGGACTGGTCTCTAGGACCCTTAACTACATGTATCATAAGCAAAGTATCATGGGCTTAGCTGCTGCAAATTGCTGCAATATTGCTGCAACTTGCAAATCTGCAACAAAGCTGCAATATGACTGCATACTACATGTACATGTAGAAGCAATAAAATCTGTCTTGCAATCTCCAGCAAACTTGTTACCGCAGACTAATATTGCTGCAAACTTTTCATTTTACTAAGGACAGGTGTATATAAGCAAAAAAACCTCCCCATCCACATTGCTTCTATCTTCTCTGTTACACTGTGGTAATATACCATGAAGTATCTTAACACACGTCACTATAGTTTGCAAATTTTATTATGCGTTTAGTTTGCTTGTATAGGATTAAGTATTTATTCCCAGTGGTTCCACATCCTTATTACTTTTATTATACGCATCTGACGATTAACAAGAGTGTATCCTTGAATATTTTAAGGAAATCCAATATGACAAGTCATAGGATACATTGCTTCTTATAATTACAAGACAGTACAAACAAATTAGACCTAGACTTCTTAACAGGGATGTGGAGCCGGTGTACTATTCAGAGTTTTAACCAGTAGCTACACAAATGTTTTGTGAGATTTATGACAGTAAACGATGCAATGAAATAATTAATTATAATGTCCAAATAATCCCATAATTTTCAGCAAGGCGAGAGCAACAGTTATACCAGTCACAGCAGGCTGTAAACAAAGTGAACAAAACGTTAGTGGAATACTTTCTGGCATTATAACATCTAGCTTCTCTCTCTTCAAGGAACGTGCCACAGTCGATACTTCCCTCGACGATTTATGCGACTGAAGATGAAAGTTTCCGCGTCTGATTCCTTACTGCGTCTCATTTTCCCTCTGTGGGCTGAATCTGTGTTTACCTTTAGTTAGTTTAAGAACAGGAGCCTCAACATCAAACATAGGAACATCTACGTGACTCTGAGTGTGCTCTCGTGAGATATCGTTGAGGCATAAACACAGCTGTATCTGTTCATATGCCTGAACCAGTGCCATGTACCAGCTTCTTTACAGACTATAGGACTTTGCTTCCTTTTAAGTTTACTATACCTTGCCACTTCTTGCCATGGGGACAAAATTCCCATACTGCCGTATGGAGCAATTCACACTTCCAGAGCTATGAATATGGAGAAGTTATCAGTGATTGCGAACTAACCTTACATGCAGTATCCCCTGTGGTATTAAAAACGACAATAATTAAGGCAATTATTCTCCAGCAAGCGACGTTCGTAAATCTGAATATGATGTTCTGTGGACAAGTGAAGGAATGTGGGCATTTGTACTTTTGTAATTATTTTTGCTTCAAATTGAAATCATTAATTTTGCATGTTCTGTTCGCTATATACCATATGTATACGTATACAGTACTAATAAAATTAGGCCCTACTGCTACTACTACTTCTACCACTACGTCTACTACGGTACTACTAGTCCATCAATTATAGCACCAGTAACATAATAACAATAATAATAACAATAATAATAATAATAATAATAATAATAATATATTTATTTTGAGTCTAAAATCCATACAGTATTCAATAGACTGTACAACATAAAATACAAAGAAGTTTATAGATAAAAATAGTTAAGATATATATTATATAAATCAGAACTAGACTAAACTGTAATTAACAATAATAAAAGTAAAAAAAAAAATCCAAGGCTTCTTTCATGTAAAATTTAAAATCCATGAATAAAATGTCTTAAAAATGTGAGTTTTCAATTCCTTTTTAAAAGATCCTTGTGATTCTATTCGTCTTCCACTCTACTGGTGCAGCTACACGAAATGATATGTCACCATATGTTTTTAACTTTGATTTGGGAACTTTCAGTAAAAGTTTGTCACCAGACCTCAGGGATCTTTGAGGGCTATAATGTTTTACTAGATCAGTTATATATGGTGGAGCTAGGTTATAAAAAGCAGCATGTATAAAAACTAAAACCTTAAATAAAATCCTGGCCCTAACTGGTAACCAGTGCAGCTGCTTTAAAATTGGAGTGATATGGCAATCCCTAGGCTATAGCATTAAAAGCCGTGTTGAGATATTCTGGATGCGTTGTCTTTTAATCTTATCATCTGGACAGCCATATGATATAGAATTGCAATAGTCCAACCTGGAAGTTACCAATGAGTGTATAACAGTAGCAGCAGATGATTGATTCAGATATTTCCTTATTGTGCCAATATTCCGAATGTTGAATAATCAAGACCTTGTGATGTTAGAGATCTGTTTGTTACAAACACCAACGCGATGCCTTAGTTTTTTTTTATAAATAACAAATGAAGTTAAAACAAGGTTAACTGAAAAGGCAGGAATATCTACGCGTACACAAAGTGCAAAGTAGGTCACAATCCAGGCAGTAGTCGAAGTACTTGTACGGATTGGAATGCAGGTATATCAGCACAAACTTTTTAATAATTTGAGCGTTAGGATGTGCATGAGCTAACAAAGTACTACGATGCTTACACATGTATAGCAGTGGGATTCAAATGAAGGGATACAGCTGTCATAATAACATCCAACATATCTCTCTCTAGGGAACGTTCCACGCGATTCGACCTTCGACGACTTATGATGCCAGTTTCCGCTCACGATTAATTCCTACGTCCCAAATTTTTCTCTGGGGATTGATTCCTGTGTTTTCCTCTAGTTGGTTTAAGAACAGGAGCCAAAGCATCTAACACGGGATTATTTATTTGACCGTGGGTGTGCTTTTGTGAGAGATCGTTGAGGTGTTAACATAACTGCTAGGAATGGACTTTTTTCGTTTGCCTGAACCAGTGCCATGTACCAGGTTATTGACAGACTAGGACTTAGCCTTTTTTTAGGCCTACTGTGCCTTACCCCTTCTTGCCACGGAGACAAAATTCTCATGCTGCCGTATGGAGCTACTCACACTTCCAGAGCTATGAATATGGAGTTGGCCTTGATGTTAACTGAACATGGTCATAATGTGACCATGATAGTCAGGGCCGACTACACACCCTGGCGACTCCTACCCGGCGTTGTATTGGAGACGTATAACGTAACTGTCAACGACGGATCACAACTACCTCGGAAATTAGATTTCAAGACAATGATGCGGTTGGTGAAATCCGACATTTTTACTCTAATTCAAATAGAATCTGAATCTAATCGCGAAACTTGTAAACACATGTTGTCTGACAAACAACTTATGAGTAAAATCAAAAGAGGAACCTTTTCTTTGTTCATATTTGATTACTTGGAATTGTGTTCTGCAATTCTTTTGTATCAGTTAAAACTCCCATCTGTCATGTACTCAAACTATGGATTAACGGGTTTGTGGATTGCAAATCAGAATCCCTTAAATCCAGCCACGACCCTTATGGAAGGCGCAGACTTTACAAACAATATGAACTACATGGAGCGCTTCAGAAATACAATGCTTTGGATAGCTGCAAATGCATTTTATAACTACTATTACATTAGAGACATAGAAAATCTACTGTCAACGTTTCTGCCTGATTATAACTTTCCTCCAATTCATCGTTGCTTTGAAAACGTCTCTATAATTATCGCAGCCAATACACATTTTGCCCTTGACTTTCCTAGACCTGTCATGCCTCATATAAAACCAATATCCGGGCTACAGTGGACCCCACCGCGCCCTCTGTCGTCCGATCTACTTTCTTTTATGTCGTCTGCTCATCATGGGGTTATACTTATGAGTTTTGGATCTATGATGCCGACGTTGGAAGAGGAGACAGCAGAACTATTTGCTAAGGTGAACAATTTACATTTATAGAAATCATTGTGTCTCCAATTGGAAGAATCGTTATTATTGGATTTAAGTGGGGCCTGTTAGTTCCAGCTACTTGTCCGTAATTATTGTAATTACACTCTTGCTGAAGAGAGTTAAACTTAAGCGTTCGTTTTGGTAGTTAGGCGCCTAGCAACCCTTGACATTTTATATGTTATCGATAAACGCATTTTAAGACATGTTCCTTACATGTTATCATCTTTATTAGCACATGCAATTGCTGCAAATTCACAGTGTTTGCCGTGACAGCCATAGCAACGGTCATAGACGTGTATATACAATGTAAACACACACATCGTGGTATATAATTGCCCTTTGACACAAAATATACACACATTGCGCATAATGTTATTATTTTGATGCCAAATTCATGTTCGTATCTGCATGTAAGCAGATATTACATCTGCACGCTTCTATGCGTAATCTTTTAATTGCGTACTTAATTAATCAGGTCTATATTTGATAAATATGGCATATAGTGAATTTCCATCTTGTCATATTGGTTAACTGTGCCACAACTTAATATAATATCTCTTGAATTTTTTTCGAAGGTATTTTCCAAGTTTCCACAGAAAGTATTATGGCGATACAAAGGACCTGTTCCGCCATCTTTAGGGGAAAACACCAAGATCATGGAGTGGATTCCACAAAACGACATTCTAGCTCACCCCGCCATGAAGCTGTTCATCACACACTGTGGTATCAGCAGCACGTGGGAGACGCTGTTCCACGCTGTGCCCGTGGTAGCAGTGCCGCTTTTTGCAGACCAGCATCATAATGCAGCTAAATTGGTGAAAAGGGCAAAAATCGGGGTTTTAATCGACTTTCATACAATGACACAGATAGAGCTAGAGGAAGCAATCAACGAGGTACTAACTAATGGGAAATACAAACAAAAAGCGGCAAAGATGTCCGAAATTTTACAAGACGTTCCAATATCAGGAAAGGATGAATTTTTATTCTGGATTGACTACGTGATCCGCCACCGTGGTCCATTATTTCTTCACAATGAGGCGGTTTTCAAACTGTCATGGTACCAATATTACCTTCTAGATATAATCTTGCCATTTGTCGCTGCATTTCTTTGTTTCACCTTTCTGTTGAAGGTTTTCGCTGTATGTATGTTTAAGGCGGCTGTACGAGTAATTAGACTCTTGCTGAAGAGAGTTAAACTTAAGCGTTCGTAATGGTAGTTAGGTGCCAATCAACCCTTGACGTTTTATATGTTGTTGGTAAATGCTTTTTAAGACATGTTCCTTGGATATTATCATATTTATTAGCACATGTAATTGCTGCAAATTTGCCGTGACAGCTGAAGCAATGGCCATAGACGTGTATATACAATGTGAACACACACATCGTAGTATATATTTGCCCTTTGACACCAAACATACATACCTTTCGCGTCAGTTTTGCTAGTATATACCGTTTGACAATAAAAGTCTCATGTTAGTAGTATGAAATGGACGCTAGGTTTACTATCGGTGGGTGGATTGTTTGTTTGTTTGTTTATTTATTTGTTTATTGGTCTGTCTGTCTGTCTGTCTGTTTGTTTGTTTGTTTGTTTATCTGTCTGTCTGTCTCCTTGCCTGTCTGTTTATCTGTCTGCCTGTTTGCTTGTTTGTTTGTTTGTTTTTGAGGGAGGGGTATCTATGGCTACCAATGCTTTTTTTAATTGTTTTTTTTAAGTCCTATTTTTTATGTACAGACGCAGTCTGTACATATAGCCGTCACCTGCGTTTGTCGTTGCCGTCGCCGTCGCCATCGCCGTCGTCGCCGTGCACTCAGCGATAACACGATAAGTGGAATACCATTTTACTTTTTGTATTCAAACTTAAAGGACTGATGAATATTCATAATACGCGGGGTCAAGTTCGAAAATCAGCATCATCGGGCCATTTTAAGGGAAGTTATGTTGTTTTTTCACTTTTTTTCAACATTTTTGCAACACCAATAACACGATAAGTGAAAAACCGTTTTACCATTTGGCTTGAAACTTACAGAACTGATAAATATTCATAATACGCAAGCCAAGTTCGAAAATCACCGTGATCGGGCAATTTTTATGGAAGTAATGCTGTTTTTTTTTTTTTTTTTTTTTTTTGATAACACAATATAAGAAAAACAGATAGGCCAATTGTCATTATACTCACAGGAGTTGTCAATTTTACTAAAACGCAGGTTGATTTAGAAAAGCAGCATAATCCGGCCATTATTTTAGAATTTATGCTATTTTTTCACATTTCCTTAGATTAAATTCTTTGGCATGTTAACAGTCTCATTATTGAACTAATAAGATACGTAAAAGTGTTCGTTTGACATTTCCTGCATCTTTACAACATTGTTAGTTGATTGTGTAAAAATGATGGTAAACTTGTTATCGTGTATTGTGCAATAAAGTGTCAAAAATGGAAATAAACTCATATCATTGCATTTGTCAGATTCAATCATCCACTATGTTCAGAATCTCAGAATGGAGGAAATTAGACATTAACACTGTTCTATTGATATTTTTCCCATCTCATCAATTTTCTTAGTTGATCATATAAAATGGCAGTAAACTGTTTATATTGTTTTTTTTAGGATTGGCATGCAGTTCAAATTAGAAAGCCAGCTCAAGTGGGTTATCATTTTTTATTGAATTTATGCAATTTTGTGTGAAATTTTCATATTTCTCATTCTGGCATTTTTAAAGTGTGAACTTGAACTCCCATGGGCCTGAAGCCTTATGCTTGTTACATATTTTACTTACATCGGTATTACCTGTTGAGCATAATTAAAATTTGATGTTGAATTTGCCGTTATAATACATAATGTACTTTTGCATCAGAATTGACAATAGCCTATTTTGTGCATTGTTATTTTCTGTTTTTTGCCTGTACATTTGACAGCTTTGCTGCCTTGTTTTCTTTGTTTTTGAAAATCTTATCTGTTTTGATTTTTAGTCTCGTCTCATCTTTCAGGTAAAAGTGCGCTTGCACCTAAATTTGCTTCTATAAGCGGGTATACCAGGGCCGTAGCCTGAGCAAAATGCCAGGGGGGCAGTAAGCGGAAACGAGGGGGGCGAAGCCCCCGAGGGGGGANACAAAGAACTCTCCTGGAGTAGACATCAGGATCCCAGGCTTTGGTGGAACTAAGACTGTAGAATGGCTGGACTCTAGTGAAATATCACCTAGTAAGTACAAACACATTAGTAATAATAATAATAATGTTGATTTTAATAAATTTTTGTGATAATATGAATAGCTATAGCCTAGCTATAGCTGAACAATTTCTAGGATATTTAGGAAATTTCTGATTGAGATCAGTAGTGGGAGGATTATGCATTTGCATTAATAGAAATTGACTTGTTTCTTCGTACTGTTATTGTGTTTAAGGTGAAATATGTTAAATTAATATTTTCAGCCCATCTTTATTAGCAGTGTGCTTTACAGAGCAGATCTGGCTAAAACAATGACTTTAAAAAAAAACAAGTGCCTTGGTGTGATTTATTCTTTTTCACTGAGTTAAGAAGGAAGTGAATAAGACTAACATATACACTTGACCTGGTTGATGTGTTTGCGTGCGTGCGTGCATGTGTGTGTGTGTGTGTGATTTTAATGAACTGCATAACACCCATGTTTTTTTTTTCTTTCAGCCTCCTATTTTTCGGTTATGGTCCAGGACTTGTTAAGCATGGGCTATGTAAGGAACCAGTCTGTGAGAGGAGCACCATATGACTTCAGGAAAGCACCAAGTAAGAGAGCAAAACATTTTTTGGACCCCTTTTAGACCAGCAAATGAATCTTTTCATTGTTGGGAATGTGATGTCATTGAGACAAAGGATTTCCTCTGTTATTTTGCATTTACCAGACCAATGTTATGGTAGAAACAAACTTGTGGAAATATGAATAGCTCATTTCAAAATTTTAATGTTTCAGATGAGCAGGCAGATTTTTTCCTGAAATTCAAGCAGCTGATAGAGGAAACGTTCACTATGAACAACAACAGCCGCGTAGTGTTGGTGGGTCACAGTATGGGTAATATGTACACCCTGTACTTCCTCAACCACCAGCCACAGCAGTGGAAAGACAAATATATCAGGTCCTTTGTGTCCTTGGCAGGGCCATGGGGAGGAGCAGCAAAAACACTCAGGCTTATGTCTTCTGGTAAGTATACATGACCAAGTCCCCTTCATTTTCACAATGAAAAAAAGATATACGTATTGAAGAAAGTAATGAGAAAGAATGTGTACAAACCTTGAAGAAGATTTTCTCTTGTTGTGAAAAACATGTCACAGACACAGAATTCTTTTTTAAATTTTTTTTTTTTTTTTTGATTTTTAAATTATTTTAATGTATTTGTTTTCTTTTTGTTATTACTCTTTTACTCTACTAGAATACCAGTAAGAAATTTCAACCTCTCTTTCTCCTTTTTCTTGTTTCATTTATATGTTTATTTTGTATTTTTTGCTTTTAGGTGATAGTTTGGGTTTCTACTCCATAATCCTGAACCCACTGGAGATTCGCCCACAACAGAGGTCAATGCCCAGCACTGCTTGGCTTTTACCCACAGACTCTGTCTGGAGCCCAGACGATGTCCTCGTCAGCAGGCCAGGTTACAACTACACATTGAAAGACTATAAAAAGTTCTTTCAGGATCTTAACTTCATGGACGGCTGGTACATGAGACAGGACACAGAGGGATTGACGAGGAAGTTGTCGCCACCTGGTGTCGAGGTGCACTGTGTCCACGGATTGGGGGTGAAGACGCCGGCGGCGTTTTCGTTCACGGAAAAGCAGTGGCCGGATTCTCAGCCCACGGTGACATACAGTAATGGGGATGGGACGGTGAACAGTAGAAGTCTTGAAGGCTGTTTGCTGTGGCAGGAGAGGCAACCCCAGAGTGTGTACCATTATGTCATTCCCAATGCCGAACATATGCAACTTCTCTACAATGCAGATGCTATTAAGATTATTAAGAAAGTCGCAGGTAGCGACACTCCTTGAAGTAAAAACGCATGTACACAGGGAGAGGGAAAAGTTGCCTTAAATGGTTGTGCCAAAATTATCAAGATTTCTGTATTCAGGGATTCTGTACTAGTTAATGTTAGCTGTTGTCATGACAACTGATACTAGTTAATACTCGTGGGTTGCAAAGATGTGTTGGGAACATGTCAGGATGTGACTTGTTATTTTTGTTCCAAAGTTATAAGAACCCATTGATGCAACAAAATATGGGGAACAGTTTAAAACCAAGTTCCTCAGAAAATCACCTTTTTGTTTTTTTTTTTTTTTTTTTTTTTTTTTTTTTCCCCCAAACCCCCCGCCCCCCCCCCCCCCCCCCCCCCCCGGAGGCTACGGCCCTGTATACAAACAGTAAAGCTAAAACGCGCAGCGGACACACCCGTATTTGATCGCTCAAGTGCCGTTGTACTCAAACAGGCGTATCAAATATGTCTTAATGGTGTACATACCAAACAGTTAAGCGCACACGCGGGCGTCCTGTACAATAAATTTTGGGCAACTACGACTTACAATAGAGCGTGTCAACAGTGAAGCTCACTTGAGTTCTGTCTTTCTTATAGCTTAGAATAGATTGTGTCAACAATGATGTGGGCAACTCTGGCCTACTCGATTACTCTGGCTTACTCTCTTGCAAGTCATAAGGCAGTCTGAAATTGAGTAAGCTTCACTCTATTGTAAGTCAAGGTTGCCCAATATGTAAAATAATATACACTGTGCAAAGTAGGTCACAAACGAGGCAGTAGTCGAACTACCTGTATGGATCTGACCTTGCTGCGTCCTTATTTTTTCTCTGTGGGTTTATTACTGTGTTCAACTTTGGTTTGTCTAGGAACAGGAGCCAAACAATTCAACATAGGACTATTAATTTGACTGTGGATGTGCTTTTGAGAGAGAGAGCGTTGAGGTATAAATATAACTGAATCTGTTTATTTGCCTGTCCGAGTGCTATGTTCCAGTTTCTTTACAGACCAGGACCCAGCTTCCTTTTAGTCCTACTGTACTATACCACTTCTTGTCATGGAGACAACATTCTCATGCTGCCGTATGGAGCAATTCACACCTCCAGAGCTATGAATATGGAGAAGTTGGCCTTGATGTTGACTGAACATGGCCATAATGTGACCATGATAGTCAGGGCCGACTACACACCCTGGCGACCCCTACCCGGCGTTGTATTGGATGCGTATAGCGTTACCGTCACAGACGGATCACAACCACCTCAGCTATTGGATTTCAAAACAATGATGCGGTTGGTGAAATCCGACATTTTTACTCTACTCTATATACTATCCGAATCTAATCGCGAAACTTGTAAACACATGTTGTCTGACAAACAACTTATGAATAATATCAAAAGAGGAAACTTTTCTTTGTTCATATTTGATTATTTGGAATTATGTTCTGCAATACTCGTGCATTATTTACAGCTCCCATCTGTCATGTATTCAAACTTTGGGTTAACGGGTTTGTGGATTGTAAATCAAAATCCCGTGAATCCAGCAACAACTCCTATGAATAGCGTGGGCTTTACAAACAATATGAACTACATGGAGCGCTTCAGAAATACAATGCTTTGGATAGCTGCAAATACATTTTATAACTACTATTACATTAGAGACATAAGAAATCTACTGTCAACGTTTCTGCCCGATTATAACTTTCCTCCAATTCATCGATGCTTTGAAAACGTCTCTATTATTATCGCAGCCAATACTCATTATGCCCTTGACTTCCCTAGACCTATCATGCCTCATATAAAAACAATATCCGGGCTACAGTGGACCTCGCCGCGCCCTCTATCGTCCGATCTTCTGTCTTTCATGTCATCTGCTCATCATGGGGTTATACTAATGAGTTTTGGATCTATGATGCCGACGTTGGAAGAGGAGACAGCAGAACTATTTGCTAAGGTGAACAATTTACATATATAGAAATCGTTATGCATCCAATTGGAAGAATCATTATTAATGTATTGAAGTGGGTCCTGCTAGTTCCAGGTACTTGTCCGTAATTGTCTGAATTACAGGGTTACTACTTAATATGGGATATTTTTTATCATTGTTATTTTTGAGTGCTGATTACATATTTTTTGGCTTGATTCTTAAAAAAAATATGCCATTGAGTGATAAAAATATCCAGTCTTCTATTGTGAGATAATTTGGGCAATAATATTAATTCTGACATAAGATGTCATTCAAAAGAAAAGAACACCCCCAGAAAACCATATCAACAGTTTGATGTCAGTATTAACTATAAGCTAAAATATTAAAGAAAGTGATAGCCTCCGGACAGTGATATGTTACACAATCAAAGAAATCATTACAGTAAACCATGAAAAGTCATCAATAGCGGGTATGACCTCCAGCAGCCGCTTGCAGCGCCCTCATCCTACCTGGCATACCCTGTGATAAGTTTTATAGAGCTTGGATGGGGATATCATTCCACACAGTGATAATAGCCTGTCGCAGTTCATCACTATTTACCGACCGATGACCATAGCTATTAATTCTGTGAGTTACTTCCGCTCAGATTTTCAATTGGGATTACCTGTATATCTGGGGAGTTTGTAGGCCAGGGCAGTTGCTGGACCCATTGGTTTTGAGGAAAAACAGCGACTCTGCAAGCTCCATGTGGGGTTGCGCAGTTGTCTTGGTACACAAAGTTGTTCCTGAAGATGACTCTTACAAATCGAAGCATTGTTTGCTGTAGAATGTCTCTGCAGGAACACTGGTTGAGTTTGCCTCCTAGAAAAACCAACTGGTTATGGGCAAGGGCATGAAATGCTCCCCAAACAGAGACGTTACCATCCCCTGCTTGCACCCTAGGCAGTACACAATCATCGTTTTACGCCTCTCGTACACCTCGGCGGACAAGGATTCGACCGTCAACACTAAAAACTCCATATCTGGCCTCATCACTGAAAGCGACGTGATTCCAGTGTTTTGGCTGGATCCTCACCCCATTGCAGACGTCGCTGTGTATGGCCTGGCCCCCGTTTCACAAATAATCTTAAATCCCTAGTCAACTAGCTCGGGCTGGGTGACCTAGCTAGGTCGACTACGCTGCAGTCGACTAGGAGTGTTTCACAAAGAATCTAACGTCTTAGCTACAGGTATGCGTGCTTACCGTAGTCGACGCGCACGAGAAACTCTTCAAGAAAAGGAGGTGTAAAGTTTCAAAAGTTTCACAAGACATGACGTTTCATGGCCTCTTTCGGTCGAGAACGATCGTTTATCAACAATAAAAATCAGCCAAAACACAAACAAAGTTTGTTTTTGAACTTTATTGATTAGGTTAACTTCGATAGAACTTCAAAGTAACAGTTAAACATTAGCTTGTCGTGGAACACTGCTGACGGACGTCTTGCGGTCAAAAACATAAACAAACACGCAATCGGCTGCGTGAAGTGGCAGTTTATTTTTATTTCAATATTCCATAATAGTCAGTGTTATTCAATTATATTATAACACAATATCTTGAAGGAGGTATGTTCTTTCCAAATTTTTGTTGTTAATGCTCTCATTTACCGAGTTTTAGTTGAGCTTGCCAACTTAAGTCTCCTCCCGACGAGGCTAGACATCGTCGACTAGCAGCTAAGAAAAAAAAAAGACGACGTAAGCGACCTTTTAGATTCTTTGTGAAACGGGACTTAGTGACGTAACGACTTAATTACGTTGGTAACCAAGCTCTTAGTCAGGGAAACCGACTTAAGTTTTTTTGTGAAACGGGGGCCTGCTGTTAAAAGTGGTTTTCGTACTGGTCTTCGTGCAAAATAACCGGCTTGAAGTAATCTCTTACTCACGAGGGACCTTGAAACAGGCGTTTGAATGACATTCTGCCACTCTCTTCTGAGGACACTGGTTGTCTCTGTACGACCAACACGGCACACTCTAAGGAGAAGGCGATCCTGTCTTCTTGATGTGTTACGCGGACACCCTGGTTGAGCTATTGGAGTAGGTGCCCCTGTTGTAGCATTTCTTTGGAGGACTTTACTCACGTTTTCTGATAAATGTTGCACTGCATGGCAATGGCTGTCTGTTTCTGGCCATTTTCTCTGAGAGCAAGAATCCCATAGAAAGCTGCTTTGCTTAGCTGTCGGACCATGTCTTCTCTAAGGTACCTGTCAAGTTTCAGAGCGATCCCTTTGTTGCTTTTGTAAATACACTCCAAAGATTGACCAAACCCATGAGTTTTTATACAAGGGCAGAAATTGCAGAAAAGACCACCCCTCACATTTCTGACCACAGAACATGCAACTACATGCATCAATTGTTTCGAGAGTGTGGTAATTAGTTAACACACCTTGCTACACATGGACTGACACCTCAGTTTTGGATTTAAAGTATATAGTTAGAGAGGAAATAAATATTTTGTAGAAAATTAACCCGCCAAAAATTAATATTCCATATTAAGAAGTAACCCTGTATTTTGATGCCAAATTCATGTTCGTATCTGCATGTAAGCAGATATTACATCTGCACGCTTCTATGCGTGATCTTTTAATTGCGTACTTAATTAATCAGGTCTACATTTGATAAATATGGTATATAGTAAATTTCTATCTTGTCATATAGGTTAACTGTGCCACAACTTAATATTATATCCCCTGAATTTTTTAAAGGTATTTTCCAAGTTTCCACAGAAAGTATTATGGCGATACAAAGGACCTGTTCCGCCATCTTTAGGGGAAAACACCAAGATCATGGAGTGGATTCCACAAAACGACATTCTAGCCCATCCCGCCATGAAGCTGTTCATCACGCACTGCGGTATCAGCAGCACGTGGGAGACGCTGTTCCACGCTGTGCCCGTGGTAGCAGTGCCGCTTTTTGCAGACCAGCATCATAATGCAGCTAAATTGGTGAAAAGGGCAAAAATCGGGGTTTTAATCGACTTTCATACAATGACACAGATAGAGCTAGAGGAAGCAATCAACCAGGTACTAAGTAATGAGAAATACAAACAAAATGCGGCAAAGATGTCCGAAATTTTACAAGACGTTCCAATATCTGGAAAGGATGAATTTTTATTCTGGGTTGACTACGTAATCCGCCACCGTGGTCCATTATTTCTTCATAATGAGGCAGTTTTCAAACTGTCATGGTACCAGTATTATCTTCTAGATATAATCTTGCCACTTGTCGCCGCATTTCTTTGTGTCTCTTATCTGTTGAAGGTTTTCGCTGTATGTATGTTTAAGGCGGCTGTACGAGTAATTAGACTCTTGCTGAAGAGAGTTAAACTTAAGCGTTCGTAATGGTAGTTAGGCGCCGACCAACCTTTGATATTTTATATTTTATTGATAAAACGCTTTTTAAGACATGTTCCCTGGATAATATCACCTTTATTAGCATATGTAACTGCTTTAAATTCACAGTGTTTGCCGTGACAGCTGAAGCAATGGCCATAGTCGTATATATATATATATATATATATATATATATATATATATATATATATATATATATATATATAGACTCGTTGTACATTTTCCTCTTGACACTAAATTAATAAACATGCATCAGTTGTGCTAGTACCATCCGACAATAAACGTTTCTTGTTACCCTCGCTTTTAAGATGGTGGTTTTGGCCGTTTTTTCCCCTCCACCTTTGGCGAATACACCCAGTCTCTTTAAAACTTGGAGAAGAATTCCCACACGATTAAATTTTTCAGATATATAATCAGCTGTCAGTATTTATAATTCGTACTCTAAGTAATAATCAAAGAACAAATGTGAACAAAATGACATTTGCAATATACAATTATATAATTACGTGGATTTGTTTCCTTATAAAACGGAATGATTACAGCATGCTAGCCTCAGAGTCTCTTGTGAATTCATTTAAAAATTATTGAACGGCATTTGAATAGTATTCTAACTACACCATGACTGCATTTTAAATATTCTCACGGCATTCTGGCATCATTCGAAACATTCTGATCACATTCGAGGGATATTCGAACTGGAACGTGACTTAAGGCCCCCGTAACACTTATTCGGAACCAGCAGGAACCAAGCACAACTAGCCAGAATGAATTAATTCAAACATTCGTGCCATAATCGGGAGGAAATTTCAAATTGCAGTCAGACTATTCCGTACGAGTGTGGTTTGACTGCTGGCCGAATACAGGCTGAAGTATGTAAGAAGGTGCCTCGAATGATATATGAAGCGAACTCAAATGCAGCCAACTGCTCCCGGTATGGCTGCCAATGATGGTTTGAAATATAAATAATTCAAACTAAAATACTTAATTAAAATTACTTTCTAACATGTTTAGAATGTAACACGATGCCCAGAGTGTATAAATAACGCCACTGGAATGGTAACTGATCATAATGTTTCAATACTGTCGGAATGCCGTGAGAATATTTAGAATGCAGTCATAGTGCATTTAGAATACTGTTCAAATGTCATTTGATCATTTTCCACTTGGAATGCACTTCGAAAGTTTTTGACATGACAAAAACATTCGAGCCGGCCACAAGAATGGGTAAAAATATTTGGCATGCACTCGGAATTTTTAGAATGCTCTTCGAATAACCTGGAATGCACAAAGAATTGTATTTTCGACGCCATTCTTAATCATTCCGCCTCTAGTGTGACGGGGGTATACAATCCCGCCAGAATGTTTCAAATGTGCCTCGGATGAGGTGAAATATTAATTTTGCCAGCAATCGAACTACACTAGTACGCCATTCAAAGTATATTCTAAATATACTGACTGCCTTCTGACAGCATTATAAATATTCCTTGTTTTCCAACTACATTCGAACTGCATTTGAGAGCTAAAACAGCCGAAAGTGCACTCATCATTCCAGGCGAATTCAAGCGCATTCTGAGTATTCCAACGGTACTCTTACAATAATTAAGGTCAATTTAAACTTTTTTCCCGAATGTGGTGCGAATTTTTAAAATTCTTCATTCAGCCTCATTCTTCTTGATTTCTGCTGATTCCAATTAAGTGTGACGGGGGTATAACTATAGTGAGCTCAACTTACATTACTATAAGCACTCAATGCCAATATCTGACACAGCACTGACTATATATACAGCTACACAATTGTGATATAATGCAATGGTAAATTTGTTTCTTATTGAAGAGCCATCATAGTTCTCACCATTTACGTGACACTACCCTGTATTGTATGCTCTGTTTTCCTGGTGTGTACAAGGCACTGTAGTACTTAATGGTCTGATATAATCTAACTGACACAGTAGTTTAAGATTTTCATAGAATGTCCATTTCAGATGAAGACCATGCAATGAGACTCTTGGAAACTGGGCAGGGGTTCTTTACAATATCGGGCAACCTGCAAAGATGTTGAAAAATTTGAGATGTTTTCAGAAAATTAAATTAACACCGTAGACTTCCGTATAGTTACAAGGACCTGCAAAAAGGTTCTTCTTTAAAACAGCCACATCAGCATGTACGAAGAGTGACTTTGAGTGTTCGTTAGTTAGCGCTTTAGGATCTTAATACATTTCAGATAGGGCTTATTGAATCTGTTTGGTAATGAGAGAGAGAGAGGGGGGAGAGAAAAAGAGAGAACAAAAATTATAACAGTATAATATTTGGGGGAAGAGCTCACGACCATACTCACTTCCCCCACTACGTCTTTTATTCGCCCTGATCTCCTGTATCAGCTTCTCTTGTCTGGCCACGGTCTCCTGCAACTGTTGAGTCTTCTTCTGGTGTTGCTGCTGAAGCTGGTTGTGGTTCTTCTGCATATCAGCCAGCATTTCTTTATACTGTTCTCCTTGCCTGTCCAAACCCTCCTGTAGGAGGCGCTGGTGTTCGTCTTGCTTTGCACGCATGTCTGCCTCGTGCATTTCCTGCGATGCCTGGATTTTCTGATCAAATTCAGCTTGAACCTGCTGTATCATTGCCAGGTTGCTTGCCTCCTTGTCGGCAAGTTCTTGCTGAAGCTGCTGCTGTTTCTGTTTTAATGACTCTGCCTGCAAAGCTTGTTGTTCAGCTTCTTCTTTGGCTCTTGCAAGATCCTTCTCTTTTTCGGTCATTTTCTATAACAGAACGTTTATATATATATGTTCTTTGCAGTTCACGTTTCCCATGTTTAGAGCGTTTGTTGATATATTCAGCTTGCATATTAACTCATTTATTAATGTGTCTTTATTTTTTCTCGTCTGGCAAGAAAGATACGTGATTCTTTAACAGAAGAGTTATTGATTTCAATGATAACAGCATCAAGCAGAATATCATAACTTTTACATAAAAAACTCACTGCTAACAATCCTCACCTTGTCAGCTTCCAGAATGGCCTTTCCCTCACTTTTCTTGTCTTCATTGAACAGCGCCAGTTCCTCGTCAGCGCATGGACCCTTCCTCTCTGTGTTGGCGTATATCTCTTTTACTTTCTGATAGTCCGCTTGGTACTCTTCGTACCCTCCTGCGCCTGTGTAGTGACCAGCCTGGATCTTGCTGGCAATATTGACATACGCGTTTTGCAAAACGGATCTACATTTATCTTTTGAGACTGCCTTGTTCTGCTCCACAAATTGCGTATAAACTGACAACAAGGCCTCCTACATGATAAAAATACATGTTCTATCTATATATATACATATATACATCATACACGTCATTATCTGTGTGTTACTTTGCGCTGTTACCGACCACATAACAAGTCATATCTTTAGTGTGGTAGTCATTAGGGGTATTTATTTCGCCGTTGATAGTACTACACTGTTATATCATCCTGAATTCTATTCTTTCCAAGATGCTTACCTGCAATTTCCTTTGAAAATTCCCTTCGGCATCAAATACAGCAATGTTCTGATAAACACGGAGGGCTGCCCCATTGGCATGCTCGTGGAGGCTTGACAGCTCCTTCAACGAGAGGGGCATGTTTGGGAGAGCTTCCTTCTCCATCATGGTGCTGTAGCTCCTTACACTTTCATCCAAAGCCCTTTGACACTCGACCTGCTTCATGGTCTCCACTGCGGTACCAATACATGGCACGGCACCAGAGTTGATGGCTTGGACGTACGTTTCTGCCAATGTTAGGTACCCTGTTGAAGAAAAAAACGCATACCGAAATATGAATAATAAAGTGGTATAACATGGGGTTTATAAAGAAAAATACATGCTATAGCTCTCAGTTGTTATTTTGTATCTAAAAAGAACAATGTATTTTAACGATTTTCCCAACATGAGCTTAAGTTTTTGAATTTGATTGAAGTATTTCCATAAACGAATTCAGTTGTTGTAGAAATAAGGTAATGTACTTACTGCTGCCATTAATGGCGTTCCCCTGCACTCTGAATGCCTCCACGCCTGTCCAAACAGTCTCGCAGAACCGATTGGCGTCCTTCATGAACTCTGGCTTAATGTCCTCCTCTCTGGCCTGGTCAAGCCTCTGGAGAAGCACATCATCGTTCACTGGTTTCTTAAGGACGAAGCACTTCCTGTGGGGGAAAAATGCCCGGATGCATTCTCTGGGTGCATTGTATTCATGGACAGCTTTGCCATGCCCTTTCTTCATTTTCAAGGCATGTTCAAGGTACTCATCAGGCGTGCATGGCTTCCCTTCAATGTTGAGCTCAAGGGTGAAATCACGCACTACCCAGAAGAATTGTGGGAAGAACTTGCCGAACGATTCTCCAGTTTCCTCCTCGGCACCGCCAGCCTGGACTTTAATGTGTTCTGTCAGTTCTGCAACCAAGCTGTGGATCTAATTAAAGGAAGAATTGTGTTTGTTGTTGCCTTTATATTCAGTGTGTAACGCTTGTTTTTTCAGTGGATCTGATGTTTATCTTTTTTTATTGATAAGAGTATTTTTTTATTCTAAATATTGTCTATGCATGTTTTTAAAATATGTATATGTACATGTAGTATAAATTAACGCAATATGTTGTAAGAGGACAGTAATTAATTACTTGCGACTTTACACTTTTGCTTATTGTTGATATCATTTTAAAGGATACTGTAGCTTATTAATAGCATCAGCATCAATGGTTCCTTGGCTGTTGTAGACGAAACAGTTGCAAAGGAGAACGGCCAGAGTGAAGAGTTGAATGTCGTAGGTCGAGTCCCCTTTTTCCACATCATAGAGACCCTCGGTGTCAATCAGCAACAGGCACCTGTTGCTATCCTTAGGGTGGGGCCGGGCCCAGATCCAGATCCCCTTGGTTTTAGACTGGACTGTGCTGCCCAGGTCGAATCCAGAGTTCTTGCCGTAAAGCCTGTTCATCAGATACGACTTTCCCGTGCGGTATTTGCCGACGATGGCGACTACGGACATTGGTTTGTTTATGTTTTGCAAGCATAGTTTGGCTTCTTCGTTGATGGTAAACTTGTGGCCGTTATCTCCTGGTATGATCAATGGTACCGGTTTGTCCATAATGGAGTTGTTCTGGCAAAAAGAAGGAATTCACAGCTTTGAAAAATACAAATTTCCAGTCGAATGTTTGTACAGAATTGAAGTTGATTCAAAGACTGATCTTAAGTCGGAGGGCAATACATGAACGAATAATGAATGAACACACTTTGTGTAAAAATCGTAACCAAGTAAGCTTTACCCAAAGACGCAAAAGTCGCATATTCCCGCTCACTTTTTCGAATCTTTTGTCAGAGGCAAATCGTACAACTGAAATCTCTCTCTCTCTCTCTCTCTCTCTCTCTCTCTCTCTCTCTCTCTTGCACCAGTATTATATATTGGCCAAACATACTACCTCGTAATGATGGAACCAAAAATTAATGACATCAGGGTAGTACTTGTTTTAGGATTAAACTGTAACTTTAATCTTAAAATCTATATTTCTTTCTATTCAAGATTTAAAAATAAAAAAATGATTTAAGGGTGAATAAGCTGCCACGCTGCCAGAAATGGCAGCTTGCGAGCTGCAAAGAACAAAAAACATGTATTTAAATTAAGTAAATGGTGTTGATTGGTAGCTGTTGAATGTCCCCTCAATCCCGCACTTTCCTCATATACTTGGTAAACAGTAGCCCTAAAGAAATATTTGTATATCAACAGTGGCGTATAATGGCGATCGATAGTCCGGGTTCCATAAATGGGGAATCTTCGCTGAGTTCATTGGCCAATTTTTTAAATAATCGTGCAATGTGTTGATTGGCCAAAATTTCATATTTCGACAAAATAACTTATCAATACCGGATCTAACTGAAACTTATCCATTTGTAGGAAATTGTGACCTTGTATCCGTTTATGAGTTTTGATGAAAATATATCCAAATAATGTATAAAAATACCAATTTAGAAAATAATCAATGGAAATTGTTATATTAATTAAACAAACATTTAGCATTTCTTTACACATAAAACTCAATCGTGATTAAAATCAATAGATTTATTAGCAATCCATAAAAATAAATAAATAAATAAAAATCTGCAACAAAAATTTCTAAAGTTGTGGCATCTATCGTGACATGACATCAAACAAACAAACAAACAAACCAGCAAAGTAAGATATTACATTTTTTTTCGCAAGTAATAACAAAATAGGATACATAAATACACAAAGAAAGGTGGGAGATCTGTCTTGAAAATCGTTTTAATGACGATAAAATGCCCAAAAGTCTATACACGCAAGAAAATATTCAATGACTAGTTATTCATGTTTATGAGCAAAAAAAAAAAAAAAAAAAAAAAAAAAAAAACTTCAACAACCCTTACAGTAGGAATATACAAGCAAGTACTGTTTCTTTTCAGATGTTCATGCTAGTATGATACAAGAAAAGGAAAGTTTGACAATTCAGTTCAGACAGGAGAATTTTTTTAAATGAAAATGAAATTATTTAATCATTATTGACAGTCAAGTGATTATAACTCAAGTGGTTTCGATAATAGATGCAACAATAGCTTAACTGACTAAAACGAAAGTTAATGATGAATCGGAAATTCACTTTCGTTTGAAAATATCCTGTAAGCCTTTTTTCTTTAGTTCACATCTGTGAACCTGCCTTTTATTTTACAGTTGCGTTTGAACAAATACTTATTTACATAACTATAAGCAAATTAATTCATAGGGCGTTTGTGTGGACAAACAAAAAGCCCTAATTAATACTGTACAACGGTGGATTACAAATTCTCCGATGTAGGAGGCTGAAAAAAATACAAAAACGCTCAAAGGCTATGTTCAAATTAAAAGTGATCGGTCCGTCAGGAACTATCTATCTTTGCAGCCCGCCCCTTCAGATGCTGTGGGGTTATTCAATTGCTTAGTCTCTAATGCGTTTGTGCTGATTACATTGTCTGCATTTAGGGGACCCCCCCCCCCCCCCATACACACAAAACACCCGAGGTAGTTCGATCACACTGGACCGATAGGTTTTAATATAAACACAGCAGAACTGAAATTAACTGCAGCTGCTCACCGTCAGGTCCTAAGTTTTTACCTAGTGCTGAGGGTGGGGTAGGGGATAGGGGACCATGCTGGGAGCTCGTAAGGGGTATAGCAGTTGACTTTCTGTGACTAATTACAGTAAGTGGGTTATTATCTTAGAGCAAAGAACTTCAGAACTTATACTGTCATAGTACTGTCATAGTTAAAAGTACAATTATATAAATATGAGTGATTATTGAGACGTGTGTATATCCATACATCTGTGGCATTCTGTATTGGAGCGGCACTGATATAACCTTCAACTACCATGTACTTTGCCATATGGCCGATAAACTATAAATTACATTCTGAATGTAACACATGGAACGTGGGGAGCTATTAAGGGGTTGAAAAAAAGAAACATTTATAAAACTAAAATAAAAGTATAGATATAGCAAAAGAACAAAACTTACTGCTGGTTCGAAATGTCGGCTTCTACTGCTTGCGTGGCAGTAATACAATGTATCTTCAACCTAAAATGCTTGTGTAGGAATTAGATCTGCTCTTTTCACCAGTGTGCGGTATGATAGCGACGCATGAAACTGCAACTCGGCGTTTTTCTAGCAGTCAGTCAACTAAGCCTGGTCATACAACGTATGCTGTAGAAAGGAAAAGCGTCGATTAAATACGCTCCAGTGCTGAATTTCCCCTTTTATTTCGAATTTATCGCCAGTGTTTTTCAGTGACTGCTCTTTTTAGCATTTAGAAATTCAACGTGAATAACGTACGTTGTAATACACGTTGTGCGGAATTCCCTTCACGACAAGCGAACATACACCAGTAATAAAAAAAAAAAAAAAAAAAAAAAAAAAAAAAAAAAAAAAAAAAAAAACATACACCAGTAATAGCCACTTATTAAACTTAACATTAAAAGGGTGACGAACGTTTACTTTTAACAGCTTAAGAAATCACCCCACTATGCCTAGACAACAGTTACAGATAGTATAGGTTTGACCTGACCTAGGTTAGTGACGTCAGCTGAATACATAGAACAAGTACATGTGTATGAGTAATCAGTGATACCCTTCATAGGTCATAATATTGTGGTATACCAAAAATAGTGTCATAATCAATATCACGGTCTTTTATTATTTTAGGTTTTGCAGATGGACGGTATCATTTGTGAGATGGTCATTATGTTTAAATACTGTATAAATCTGAACAATTTTTAACTCAAAAAAGTTCCCCGTCCGTTTGACACCTGTAATGCAATATGTATACTCTTTACACGAACTATTTTGAGCTCATGAAACATGGGCGCCTCTGACGTTCGCAGTGTGGGACTTTTTCACGGTGTTGAATGCGCCAATAAAAGAGTTTAAATACACCCCATAAAAAGGGTCCATTCGGATATCCGAGTTTCGAGACGACGCGGGATCGGCTTCTTTAATCTTGTTTTCATAACTTTAATAAAAATCTTACCGATTAGGAAAATTTAAGATGAATGAGCACTGATCAGATGTGAAATATAATTATGGGAGATAGCAGCGTACGGTGTATGTACAAGTTTAGAATATAAATAAATGTAAGAAAAATGCAAAAAAAAAAAAAAAATACAACATTTCGTTTTGCACTAGCCACAGATTAACCATTTAATAAATAAATAAATAAATAAATAAATGATAGTATAATTTACACCCCCCCCCTCTGTGAATGCCAATTTGTCACATTTAAAACAGAACAATAACAGAGTATTTTGGTGTAATTCCATGTACTTTCATTTATAAATAGAGTTCTGCTGTTTAACATTGCTATTGATCTATTATTGTGAAGATAATACACTTTCTCATTCTTCTTCTATTTGTTTTCATGTAGACTTTATGAAAATGTATCTCTGTGGACAAGTATTTCTTTCCATATATATATATATATATAAAGAGCATAGTGACAGAAGAGGCAGACTAATAACACTTCCTGAGCAGAAAACAGATCATGGAAAAATTCAGTGGCTGCTCAGTCCAAAAAGTGAATCGTGCTTGAGAACATTACATCTATACATAACTGAAAGTTTGAAAAAACGACACACCCATCAATAACAATAGTCGTTTTATTCTGTGCTGCTTCCCAGTAATCATTCCATTAGTATTTGTACAAATTTGTATAATTGATGTTAAGTTGTTATGAATAGTTTAGAGAGCCTGTACAATGTAATATGTACACATTTTAGTGCTCAATAAAGGTTATTTATTTTATTTATATAATCGAACTGACACGATATGTAACTGCACCACATGATATATGTTAGAGTAAGTCAGAGCATTGTGCGACACGTGTCTCCTCGGACCATTCAGTCACTTTTTAGTCAGTTTTTTTTTTTATATTTTTCAGCACACTACGGAATACAAAGCAAAATACAAGATATGCACAACAAGAACGTCCTTGTTGCTAAAACGATTACGGTACGGTCACGGCAACACGGTAGTTTAAGCTTTTCCTAGGATGTCCGCATCAGACTCTTGGAAACTGGGCAGGAACTCTTTACAATATTGTGCAACCTGCAAAGATGTTGAAAAATGTGATATGTTTTCAGAATATTAAATTAACACCGCAGACTTGATTTCACATTCGTATAAGTACAATGACCTGTAAAAAGGGGCTCCTTCAAAAACAGCCACATCAGCATGTACAAAAAGTGAATGTGAGTGTTCGTTAGTAAACGATTTAGGTTCTAAATACATTTCAGATAGGTTTTACTGAATATGTTTGGTAATAAGAGAGAGAGAGAGAAAGAAAAGAACAGAAAAAGAGAGAACAAAAAATATAATAGTATAATATTTAGGGAAAGAGCTCACGACCATACTCACTTCCCCCACTACGTCTATTATTCGCCCTGATCTCCTGTATAAGCTTCTCTTGTCTGTCCATGGTCTCCTGCAACTGTTGAGTCTGCTCCTGATGTTGCTGCTGAAGCTGGTTGTGGTTCTTCTGCATATCAGCCAGCATTTCTTTATACTGTTCTGCTTGCCTGTCCAAACCCTCCTGCAGGAGGCGCTGGTGTTCCTCTTGCTTTGCACGCATGTCTGCCTCGTGCATTTCCTGCGATGCCCGGATTTTCTGATCAAATTCTGCTTGGACTTGCTGTATCATTGCCAGGTTGCTTGCCTCCTTGTCGGCAAGTTCTTGCTGAAGCTGCTGCTGTTTCTGTTTTAATGACTCTGCCTGCAAAGCTTGTTGTTCAGCTTCTTCTTGGGCTCTTGCAAGATCCTTCTCTTTTTCGGACAATTTCTATAACAGAAAGTTTATATATATATATATATATATATATATATATATATATATATATATATATAGTTCTTTATATTTGCAGTTCACGTTTCCCATGTTTAGAGCGTTTGTTGATATGTTCGACTTGTATATTAACTTATTTATTAATGCGTCTTTATTTTTTCTCGACTGGAGAGAAAGGAAAGTTACGCGATTCTTTAACAGAAGAGTTATTGATTTAAATGACAACAACATCAAGCAGAATATCATAACCTATGCATTAAAATCAGTGCTAACAACCGTCACCTTGTCAGCTTCCAGAATGGCCTTCCCCTCATTTTTCTTGGCTTCATTGAACCGTGCCAGTTCCTCGTCAGCGCATGGACCTTTCCTCTGTGTGTTGGCGTATATCTCTTTTATTTTTTGATAGTCCGCTTGGTACTTCCCGTACCCCCCTGCGCCTGTGTAGTGACCACCCTGGACCTTCTTTGCAATATTGGCATACGCGTTATGTAAAACTTGTCTACATTTGTCCCTCGAGACTTCCTTGTTCTGCTCCACAAATTGCGTATAGACTGACAACAAGGCCTCCTACATGAAAAAATAATGTTCTATCTATTAAGATATATTAGACATTCGTTACATACATACATCATACACAGCATTATCTGTGTGCTACTTTGCGCTGTTACCGACCACATTTCAAGTCGCATCTTTAGTTTGGTAGGCATTAGGGGTATTTATTTTGCGGTTGATAGTACTCCACTGTTATATCATCCTGAATTCTATTCTTTGCAAGATGCTTACCTGCAGTTTTCTTTGAAAATTCCCTTCGGCATCAAATACAGCAATGTTCTGATAAACACGGAGGGCTGCCCCATTGGCCTGCTCGTGGAGGCTTGACAGCTCCTTCAACGAGAGGGGCATGTTTGGGAGAGCTTCCCTCTCCATTATGATGCTGTAGCTCCTTACACTTTCATCCAAGGCCCTCTGGCACTCCACCTGCATCATGGTCTCCACTGCGGTACCAATACATGGCACGGCACCAGAGTTGATGGCTTCCACGTAGGTTTCTGCCAATGTTAGGTATCCTGTTGAAGAAAAAAAACGCATACCAAATTGATTATTAAGTAATTAAATGGTATAACATGGGGTTTATACATAAAGATACCTTCTAAAACTGTCATTTGTTATTTTTTTATCTAATGAGAACAATACAATTTAACGATTTTCCTAACATGAGCCTAAGTTCTTGAATTTGACTGAAGTAGTTCCAACAAACGAATTCATTAATTGTAGAAATAAGGTGATATATTTACTGCTGCCATTAATGGCGTTTCCCTTCACTCTGAATGCCTCTACGCCTGTCCAAACAGTCTCGCAGAACCGATTGGCGTCCTTCAAGAACTCTGGCTTGATGTCTTCCTCTCTGGCCTGGTCAAGCTTCTGGAGAAGCACATCATCGTCCACTGGTTTCTTAAGGACAAAGCACTTCCTGTGGGGGAAAAATGCCCGGATGCATTCTCTGGGTGCATTGTAATCTTGAACAGCTTTGCCATGTCCTTTCTTCATTTTCAAGGCGTGTTCAAGGTACTCGTCAGGCGTACATGGCTTCCCTTCAATGTTGAGCTCAAGGGTAAAATCACGCACTACCCAAAAGAATTGTGGAAAGAACTTGCTGAACGATTCCCCTGTTTCCTCCTCGGCACCTCCAGCCTGGATTTTAATGTGTTCTGTCAGTTCTGAAACCAAGCTGTGGATCTTATTAAGGGAAGATTTTTTTGTTTGTTTGTTGCTTTTAAATACAGTGTGTAACGCTTGGTTTTTCAGTGGATATGATGTTTATCTTTTTATTGATAGGGGTATATTATTTTCAATTCTGATTGTTGCATATATAATTTTCAAATGTGTAATACTTCCATGTAGTATAAGTTAAGGCAAGATGTTGTAAGAATACAGTAATTCCTTATTTGTGACATTCAGAACAAAAATAATTTTAAAGGATACTGTAGCTTATTGATTGCATCAGCATCAATGGTTCCTTGGCTGTTGTAGACGAAACAGTTGCAAAGCAGAACGGCCAGAGTGAAGAGTTGAATGTCGTAGGTCGAGTCCCCCTTTTCCACGTCATAGAGGCCCTCGGTGTCAATCAGCAACAGACACCTGTTGCTATCCCTGGGGTGGGGCCGGGCCCAGATCCAGATCCCCTTGGTTTTAGACTGGACCGTGCTGCCCAGGTCGAATCCAGAGTTCTTGCCGTAAAGCCTGTTCATCAGATACGACTTGCCCGTGCGGTATTTGCCGACGATGGCGACTACGGACATTGGTTTGTCTATGTTTTGCAAGCATAGTTTGGCTTCTTCGTTGATGGTAAACTTGTGACCATTATCTCCTTGTATGATCAATGGCACTGGTTTGTCCATAATGGAGTTGTTCTGACAAAAAGAAGGAATTCACAGGTTTGAAAAATAAAAATTTCCAGTCGAATGTTTGTACAGAATTGAAGTTGATTCAAAGACTGAGGTTAAGTCGGAGGTTAATGCATGAATGTATAATGAATGAACACTTTGTTTAAAAACCGTAGTGAGCTTTACTCAAAGGCGCAAAAGACGCCTATTCCAGCTCAGTGTTCAAAGTCTTTTGTGAGAGGCAAACTATAATCTCTCTCTCTCTCTCATGTACTAGATATATAAATTAGCCAAACATAGCACGTGATAATTATGGAAACAAAAATTAATGACATTAGGGCAGTTTTTGTTTCAGGTTTAAAGTATAATTTTAATTTTAAAATCTATAATTCTTTCTATTCCATATGAAAATAAAAAACGATGTTAGGGTGGATAAGCTGCCAAGTTGCCCAGAATAGCATTTTACGAGCTGCAAAGAACAAAATACATGTATGAAAATTAAGTAGATGGTACTGATAGGTAGCCATTGAATGTCCCCTCAATCCCGCACTCCCCTCATATACTGGGTAAACAATGACCCACCCTAAAGACATTCTTGTATGTCAACAGTGGCTCATAATGGCAATCGATAGTCCGGGTTCCATTAATGAGGAATTTCCACTGTGTTGATTAGCCATTTTTTTAAACAACTGTTATATTCAATGTGTTGATTTTCAAATCCCTACACAATAACTTAACAATACCGGATTTGATTGAAACTTATCTATTTGGAGGAAATCGTGACTTAGCAATGGTTCACACGGTTTGGTGTAATTACATCCGAATATTGTATAAAAATATCATTTTTTAAATAATCAATTGAAAATGTCATGTTAATTTTACAAACATTTAGGATTTTTCTACATTTCTAAACCTTAATCATTATCCTAATGAAAATCAATAGAGTCCATCCTAGATTTATTGGCAATCTACAAAAATAAACAAAATAGATAAATAAATAAAATCTGAAACCAAAATCTCTTAAATTGTGGTCGCTATTGTGACAAACAAACAAACAAACCACGAGGGAAGTTAGATATTGCAAATAAATTTTCTCAAGTAATAACAAAACAGGATATACAAATGCACAAAGAAAGGTGGGTGATCTGTCTTGAAAATCATTTTAATAATGACAAATGAGTTGCCCGAGAATATTAATCCTGTTTATAAAGCAAAAATAATTCTTAATCAACCCTCACAGCATCTCATGTGCTGTTTCTTATCAATATAAACACACCAGTATGATACATGGAAAGGAAAGTTGGACAAGTCAGTTCAGACAGTAGCATATTTATAAAAATGAAAATGAAAATTTTTGGTTATTTTTGACAGTCAGGTGATTAACGGGAATTTTGGTTTCGATTGAATATTCCGATAATAGGTGCAACATTAGCTTAACTGACTAATACGAAAGTTGATGATGAATCGGAAATTTATTTGCGATTAAAAATATCCTGTAAGCCTATTTTCTTTAGTTCACATCTGGGAACCTGTCTATTATTCAACGATTGCGTTTGAACAAATACTTGCTTAAATAACTGTAAGCAAAATGATTCATTGGGCGTTTAAGTGGACAAACAAAAAACCCTAATTAATAAAACGGTGGATTACAAATTCTCCGATGTAGGGAGCTGAATAAATACAAATATACTGGAAGGCTGTGTTCAAATTTAAAGTGATCGGTCCAGAAGGAACGATCTACCTCTGCAACCCGCCCCCTCCGGAAGCTATAGGGTAATTCACTTTCGTAGTTTCTGTTGCGATTGTGCTGATTACACTTAGGGGAGACCCCCCCTCGAGATCGATCGATCACAGCTTTTAATATGAACACAGCCAAACGGAAATTCACTGCAGCTGCTCTCCGTCAGGTCTTAGGATTTTACCTAGTGCTGAGGGTGAGGTGGGGGTGGGGCACAATGCTGGGAGATCGTAAGGGGTATAGCAGTTGACCATCTGTGCCTAATTACAGTTAGAGGGTTATTATCTTAGAGCAAAGAACTTGAGAACTGATACTGTCATAGTACTGTCAGAGTTAAAAGTACAATTATATAAATATCAGTGATTTTTAAAGACCTGTGTATATCCATATACCTGTGGCATTAGGTATTGGAGCCGACACCGAAATAACCTACAACTACATGTACCTTGTCATATGGTCACTTTAAATTACATTCTGAATGTAGCACATGAAACGTGAGGAGCTAAGGGGTTGAAAGAAGAAATATTTATAGAACTAAAACACAAGTATAGATATAGCAAAAGAACACAACTTACTTCTGGTTCGAAATGTCAGCTTCTACTGATTGCGTGGCAGTAATGTCTTCGATCTAATATCTGTGCAGATAGAAATATCAGCTGCTGTTTTCACCAGTGTGCGGTATGATAGCCACGCATGAAACTGCAACTCGGCGTTTTTCCAGCAGTCAGTCAAATGCGCCTGATCATAGAACGAATGCTGTAGAAAGGAAAAGCGTCGATTAAATAAGCTCCAGTGCTGAATTTCTCTTTTTATTTCGATTCTATCGCCTGTTTTTCGGTCAGTGCTATTTTTAGCATATAGAAATTCCCAGTGAATAACGTACGTTGTAATAAGCTTTGTGCGGAAATTCCCTTTACGACAAGCGCACTTTATCGGTAAACGCCCCTTGAACTTTGCATTTAAAGGGTGACGAACGTTTACTTAACTGCCTTAAACATCACCCCACTTTACCTACACAACAGCAGGTTACAGATAGCATAGGTTTGACCTGACCTAGGTCAGTGATGTCAGTTGAATACATAAAACAAGTACATGTGTATGAGTAATCAGAGATACCCTTCAAAGGTCAAAATATTGTGGTATACTAAAAATAGTGCCATTGCAAATATAACGGTATTTTAATATTTTGGGTTTTCCAAATGGATGGTGTCTTTTATGAGATGGTCATTATGTTTAGATAAACCTGGGCAATTTCAAACACAGGAAAGTTCCCCGTCCGATGTGAAATAGAATAATGGGAGATGTAGCAGCGTACGGTGTATATGCAAGTTTAGAAGATAAATAAATGTAAGAAAAATGCAAAAAAAAAAAAAAATAAATAAATAATAATAATAATACAACATTTCGTTTCACACTAGCCACAGATTCGCCGTGTACATCTCAAATCAACCATTAAATAAATAAATAAATAAATACTAGTATAATTTACTTCTTCCCCCTCTGTGAATGCCAATTTGCCACAATAAAAAAAAAGAACAGTAACAGACTACTTTGGTGCATTTCATGTACTTTAATTTATAAATAGGGTTCTGCTATATGACATAACGTATTTCATCGTATATTGATCTATTATTGTGAAGATAGAGTTGTATCCACCACCCTCCATTAATAAATTCTTCTCCTAGACTTTCTCAGTCTTCTTCAATTTGTTTTCATGTAGACTTCATGAAAATTTAACTCTGTGGACAAATAAACTTCCTAAGGTAGGCTATGTACAAAGCATTTTTAAAATAAGATCATGCCTTGTTTGCATTGCTGATATTTAAAAGTTATTTTTATACACAGTAAATAAAAATGAATTTTTTTCACTGTAACAGGTACATGGAGTGAACATCAACAAATTAAATCATGCCTTCAGCAAAGAAGCCAACATACATCTATAAAGCCTATTATATACATCATTCAGCCTGATCAAGTGTCCATTTCCGTTTACATAAATATATCCAAAAGAGTTAGTTTTCAAAATGTCAGTCTCAGCAATGTCTTTGCTTATGTTATGCAATGTCCAGCTATTCACAGCCTTCACTGACTGAGAAATGTCTACATTTGAAGCTCGCCAAATTTTCAGGAACTGGTCACATAATAGCACAACCTAAAAAAGAAGAAAATATTATGTGGATAAAGTAATGTTTGAAATAATTATACACATATAATGAAAACACATTGGCTATCCAGCGAGGGGGAGGAGAGGGCAAGTTATATATAATATATATATATAACTTATATGATGTTGAATGATATCATTCAGCCGTTAACAGGCTTACAAATAAGAACAAAACATAAGCTTACAGGTATTTTCGACCGAAAGTAAATTTCCGATTGATCATCAACTTTCGTATTAGTCATTTAAGCTAATGTTGCATTTTTAAGGGAAATATTCAATCGAAACTTAAATTCCAATTAATCATTTGACTGTCAGAAATGACCAAAGAATACCACTGACGATACCATGAAACCGGCAGTGGTTTAATAACAACTGCTTTTTATTTACTGGTACATGTATGTAATTCTTTGCAGATCGTTATATATATATATATATATATCGAGAGAGAGAACACTTACCACCACCTCCTCCCCTACTTCTGCTGTTAGCGTGTCGAAGCCCTTCTTCAAGGTTTCTATTCTGCTGCATTAGAAGCCTTATCTGGTCGGCACTTTGGTCTGCTCTCCTTTGTTGGGCATCCAATTGCTCCTGGGTCAGTCGCATGCGGTGTTCCAATTCTCTGCTAATTCTCTGCGCTTCTGCGTCCCTGATTTGTATCTCATGTTGCTTCTCGCTGTTCACTCTCCGTATTCTTTCTTCATACTGCTCCCTCATTTCCCCCTTCTCTTGTTCAAGTCGTCTCAGATTTTCCTCGTGGTCAATTTGTAGTCTATCCAGCCTTTCCTCCAAGGCCTGCTGTGCGTCTGCGTTCTGCTGTTTCTCCAACTCGATAAGGACGCGATGGGTCTCTATCTCCTGCTCCTTCTTGGCTACGGCCCCTGCAGTCTGGTGGATCAGCTGGGTCTGGGTCTGCTTCTCGTTCTCGAAGTCTTCCCTCACCTGGCGGGCGCAGTAGGCGGGGCCCTTCTTTGGATACTCATCGTAGAGGACAAAGACCTTCTGTAAGTCTTGGATGTATTCCAAATGGCCGTCGGAATAGGAGTACTCATCTTCGTCGATCTTTTTCTGCACGATGCTGGTAAACAGAACATCCAGCATTTCTCTACACAATCGAAGGGCCTCTGATTCGTTGTTTTTACAGATCATGGTGTACTCCTTTTCGATGTCTGCCTGGAATATATACAATTAAATTCACTTGTTAGGCTAGTGCCTGATTAAAAAGAATGGGAAGATGTTTTTTTTTTCGTAAACCTTTGAATAATATGTCTGTAAAACCAAAATAAGATTTGCAATTAAATATTTTATGGGAAGCAAAATTTCATGGGTGTTTATGTCATTAGACTCAGTTATTCTAAAACAGCCATTAGAACTGTGATATGAATGCTGAAATATCTAAATTAACGCCAATGGCAAATAAAGGTCGAGAGAGAGAGAGAGAGAGAGGTAGAAAGAAAGAGAGAAAGAGATGGGGGGGTACCTTCATTCGATTGTAGAATTCTCCATCATCATCAAATATGGCGTACTCGGCAAAGGTTCTCTCGGCACAGTTATCAAAATTGTGCCTGTGCCTTCTTTTAAGCTCATCCTCTTGAAGCGGCAGCTCCTCTACAGTGTCTTGCATTGCTATTTTGTAGAACTGCAGCGCCATCTCTACTGCCTTCAGGCACTCCGCCTGGCGAACAGCTACCACAGCATTCTCCACAGAAGGGATCTTATCTTGGCGAAAGGCCAGCACACAATTACGGGCGATTTCCACCAGATCTAAAATCATACGAGATTAAAGTATAACAGGATAATTATACGTATACTGATAACTAGTATACTGATAAAGTTATCTCAAAAACCTAGGAGGCAAAAATAGTGACGAGATACTACATGCTGTTCAGGTACTTGATAACATAACTATACATGAACACGAATGACACATGATATATAATGGCAATTCCCATAAGCATCTGACTAAGAAATTCACAACATAACCCCTGTAAGTAAATGACTTTATCAATTCTCAAAATATTTTACAACAACTACTACATCAACAACAACAACAATAATAATTACATTGTATTACAGAACAACAACCAAAATCAACACAAAATTTGCTTTAGCTTTCGTATTTGATATTATATTGGCAAATTACTACACATATAATTTGGACACTTACGTCTACTGTTCATCCACACTCCACGGACCTTCTTTGGTTCACTTTGCGCGTGGATGGTGGACACGAGCTGTGTGACACCGTCCACAAAGGCGGGCTGAAGTTGGTCCTCCGGGACCTCGTCCACCTGCTTCAAGGCCTCGTCCTCAGTCACTGGCCGGGGGAGAACAAAACAGGACCTGGAATGAAAAAGAAGGGAATCGTTTTTAATTACTTAATCCGTTTTTACCTGTTTGGTCTTCTCACACATATATGTAACCAAAAGGCTAAATATTCAAAAGTTTATAAACACAATCAATACTCTCAACGCCTCAACTTCGAAAGGGGGGAGGCCAACACTTCGTTCTACAGGCGGCTGTAAGGCCGGTGTAACAGGGGCTTTACATTAAAAAAGCGCTGAAAACTCTACTTCAATTAAAGCAGTACCTGTTTGGAAAGTAGGATTTCAACTTGTCACGAGAATTATTCCGCAACCGTGTTTTTTCTCCAAAACCTCTCCTTATTTTGAGGCAATGCTCCAAGTAGGTTGTTGGTGAACACGGCTGTCCGTCGACGACCAATTCCAGCATGAAGTCTCTAACTACGAAATGTAGCGCAGGGAAAATTCGGTCCATGTTTATAACATTTCCCTCGTCGTCAACCCTGAGGACCAAGTGCTCAGAGAGCTCAGATACTAAGCTGGGCAAACGGTTAAGCAGTATAAATTCAGGTGAAATAATTCCACAATGTAAATTGGTATAATTTTTCATTGTGTATACTACCAGTAAACCAGTATTGTTATTCTAATAATAAGTCAACAGTTTACCAGTAATGTACAGTGCACACGATCAATGAGCAAATATCAGCACTCCCCCAACCCCTTAAAGTCACCCTCCACCCTCACCCCGCCTCAAAAGAAAACATTAGAATAACAACATGTTTAATCAAAATAAAAAAAAGATTGTATACCTGTGTCTTCCATACTATGGCTCATATCACCTTTTTAGTTTTATAGTCTCTCGTGCCCCCTACCCCCCCCCCCAAAAAAAAATAAATAAATAAATAAAATAAATAAATAAAAATAAAGCTAAACAAGATACTGGATCCGGCAGTGAATTCAGATGAAAAAAAAGGAATCATCATCAAAAAGGATACTCTAGAAGTTCTAAACAGCTCTCATCTATTACACCCTGGCAGTTGTAGATCAGGGTACTGCTGAGGATAACAGACAGAACAAAGATCTGAATGTCCCGGTTCTCGTCGCCGTCTGTGGCATGGGACAGACCCTCAGTGTCCAGTAACAGCAGGTTATGATTGGGTCTGGTGGGGTGGTCAGTTATCCAGGCCCAAATGCCTAGAAATGTCATTTATTATATTTTATATATCTAACACAAACAGACAAAAATAGCAAACACACATAAACACGCAGAGAGAGAGAGAGAGAGAGAGAGAGAGAGAGAGAGGAGCGGGGCCAGAACATTGACAAACAAGTAGACAGACGGACAGGCATCTTTATAATATCAATGAATATCAATCATAAAGGACAGGCATCTTTATAATATCAATGAATATCAATCATAAATACCCTTCGTTGCGGCGTTGATGGTCGGACCGAGTGGGAATCCCGCCTGCTTCCCCAACAGCCGGTTCATTAAGTACGACTTTCCTCGGCGAGCTCTGCCCACAATAGCTATAACCACTACAGGTTTCCTGTGCTGTTGCAGAGTGTCAGCTGTTTCATCGTGTACGAAAAGTTTCCCGTCACTGTCTACACCAATGAACGGCTTCGGACCGGTCATTCTCGAAGACATTCTGATAAGAAAAAAAAATGAAAACAACGACCTTAGATAAAAATTCAAGACAGTAGATTCCTTTCGGATTAAGCAGTAAAATAGTCTGATAAACCATCTCCTATCTATATCGTTTAAGAATTAAAATTTCACCTGAATTTTTTATATCGTAATATTGTAATTAGCTTAATAGATATTTAGAAAAGAATGAAATAAAAAGAAATTGAAATAAAAAAGAAAAAGAGGAAGAAGAAGAATAAAAAATTTACTGACTTTTACTTTTAGATCAACCTTTCCATTTTGTTACATTAAAGATTAGTCATAAAAATGTGCTCAACTGAAAGTACACACAGACTGAAATTCATACAGAAAGATAGTGGGAATTTTTCTACCCTACACATGTAAGTAGGACGGTTGCCTCAATTTCGATATACACACATTAACAATGATGTTTTATCTGTACAACTACTACTACTACTACTGTAGATCTCTTGTTAATACATGTTTACCGCTTTCACTATCAAATAATGGCAATAATAATAATAATAATAATAATAATAATAATAATTACGACAACAACGTAGGTCACACACATGCGGAGTTTTCTATGTAAACAACAACAGCTGATCTTGATGTGAACGGGGAATCCCCGTTTGGCTGTAGTGTTATTCAGAACATTGGAAAGGAAGTCCACCCAGTGATAGGTGAGTCTCGAATTTTTTTTCGCATGTGAAGACGAGAAATACATTCAAAATAATATGTCCAGAAATGACTACTTATCTTGGTCCCAAATGTGCCTATGAAATACGGCAGAGGTGGTAAGTTATCTTACTGAATGCCCCGATTTCAGCATACCCTGTATATGCATCGGAAGGCCCTCTTTAATACATTGTACGTCACTTAAACTTGGTCATTCAATAGCTCAACATATGTTGACAATGTGTGTGTTCTAAACAGGGGGTTAGAATAATTCCCGTGCCCCACCCAATAGTAAATAGTGCACAGGAACAACAACAGCTGAAAAAAAACTTCAATTGTGACATCCCTTTTTGTAAATTATTGTTTTTCTACATCCGTAAGCTTTACGATTGTCGTACATGTTACACCGTACGTACCTTATCACCTGTTACCCTGTCCTGTCTCCAACAAAGGCGAATGATGGTACAGTATTTTCGATGAGGCAACCTATGGACTGGCCTGGGCCTCTATCATCCACAAATGTCCTCGCTGTTTGTAGGATTCAACTGCCAGTTTTTGTATTGATTGTATCTTGTTGCATTTTATGCATGTTACGAAACAAAGAGAAACCGCCCCTACCGTATGTACTCCTAGTGCTGGTTGTAAGAAAAATTCCCTGTGTCTGTTTATAGACCGAAACTAAAAATTTCTATATTTCACGCAATTACTATGCCATAAATTTCCCCATCGATAAAGATAGTCCATGCGCACATTGATTATCAGAGGTGACCTAAAGGGTCAAACTGTTGTTGCTGTTGGGGCAATGTGAATGGGTCGTCAAACAATGACAGGGTCAAAGTAGTGATGCGTAAACATTGGCATCAATATGGCGGCCGGGTTTTTTAGTAGCTAAAAACCAGGTGTCTATATGTAGCAATGGGAATTCTGGTCATACCAAAGGTGAAAATAGAAGTGGGGATTTTTCCTGTTTCTTACATCTACGGTATTTAAGCGGGCGCAGGGGCTTTTAATACCCTCAGATCGTGGTTGTGAATGCAGGGGAAGATCTCAGTGCATGTTAATGCGGTCAGAGCGACGTTCTTCATTCAACCAGTAAGTTACTCAATTTCTAAAATATTTGTTTTACGCGTTTTAAGACAGTTGCACTTGTGCGTGTGTATGTTTTACATGTTTGAGCTTTGTGAAACTATAAAGAAGAGTCTTCGTGCCTTTGTCTTTCCTTTGGTTGTACAAAATGTATGTGACAGTCTAGATATGTTTTTATAACATCACAATTGCAAACAATATATATTCCTATTTTGTTGGAGGTGGGATTGGTTACAGTGCACATGCTTGCTATCTGAATGCACTGTTTGTTTCGACGTAGATACATGTATAAACCGACCTGGTCTAAGCCTACATGACGTATTTATTTCAAATCTGCCGTTTACATGTAGACCTATAGGCACAGTACAAATAGAACTAGACCGGATCAAATGATCTTCTGGTTCTGAAATTTCAGAGATTTATATGAATAATAATAATAANGCCACTTTAAATTACATTCTGAATGTAGCACATGAAACGTGAGGAGCCAAGGGGTTGAAAGAAGAAATATTTATAGAACTAAAACACAAGTATAGATATAGCAAAAGAACACAACTTACTTCTGGTTCGAAATGTCAGCTTCTACTGATTGCGTGGCAGTAATGTCTTCGATCTAATATCTGTGTAGATAGAAATATCAGCTGCTGTTTTCACCAGTGTGCGGTATGATAGCCACGCATGAAACTGCAACTCGGCGTTTTTCCAGCAGTCAGTCAAATGCGCCTGATCATAGAACGAATGCTGTAGAAAGGAAAAGCGTCGATTAAATAAGCTCCAGTGCTGAATTTCTCTTTTTATTTCTATTCTATCGCCTGTTTTTCGGTCAGTGCTATTTTTAGCATATAGAAATTCCCAGTGAATAACGTACGTTGTAATAAGCTTTGTGCGGAAATTCCCTTTACGACAAGCGCACTTTATCGGTAAACGCCCCTTGAACTTTGCATTAAAAGGGTGACGAACGTTTACTTAACTGCCTTAAACATCACCCCACTTTACCTACACAACAGCAGGTTACAGATAGCATAGGTTTGACCTGACCTAGGTCAGTGATGTCAGTTGAATACATAAAACAAGTACATGTGTATGAGTAATCAGAGATACCCTTCATAGGTCAAAATATTGTGGTATACTAAAAATAGTGTCATTGAAAATATAACGGTATTTTAATATTTTGGGTTTTCCAAATGGATGGTGTCTTTTATGAGATGGTCATTATGTTTAAATAAACCTGGGCAATTTCAAACACAGGAAAGTTCCCCGTCCGATGTGAAATAGAATAATGGGAGATGTAGCAGCGTACGGTGTATATGCAAGTTTAGAAGATAAATAAATGTAAGAAAAATGCAAAAAAAAATAATAATAATAATAATAATAATAATAATACAACATTTCGTTTCACACTAGCCACAGATTCACCGTGTACATCTCAAATCAACCATTAAATAAATAAATAAATAAATAAATAAATAAATAAATAAATAAATGCTAGTATAATTTACCCCTTCCCTCTCTGTGAATGCCAATTTGCTAAAATAAAAAAGAACAGTAACAGACTACTTTGGTGCACTTACATTTACTTTAATTTATAAATAGGGTTCTGCTGTATAACATAATGTATTTCATCATATATTGATCTATTATTGTGAAGATAGAGTTGTATCCACCACCCTCCATTAATCAATTCTTCTTCTACACTTTCTCATTCTTCTTCTATTTGTTTTCATGTAGACTTCATGAAAATTTAACTCTGTGGACAAATAAACTTCCTAAGGTAGGCTATGTACAAAGCATTTTTAAAATTAGATCATGCCTTTTTGGCATTGCTAATATTTTAAGAGTTATTTTGTATACACAGTAAATAAAAATGAATTTTTTTCACTGTAACAGGTACAAGGAGTGGATTTCAACAACTGAAATCATGCCATCAGCAAAGAAGCCAACATACATGTATGAAGCCTATTATATACATCATTCAGCCTGACCAAGTATTTCTTTCCGTTTAAATATATATATATCCAAAACAGTAATGTTTCAAAATGTCAGTCTCGGCAATGTCTTTGCTTATGTAATGCAATGTCCAGCTATTCAAAGCCTTCATTGACAGGAAATGTCCACATTTGAAGCTCGCCAAATTTTCAGGAACTGGTCACATAATAGCACAACCTAAAAAAGAAGAAAATGTTATGTGGATAAAGTAATATTTGAAATTATTATACACATATTGTGAGAAGAAGAGGGCAAGTTATATATATATATATATAACTTATATGATGTTGAATGATATCATTCAGCCGTTAACAGGTTTACAAATATGAACAAAACATAAGCTTACAGGTATTTTCGACCGAAAGTAAATTTCCGATTGATCATCAACTTTCGTATTAGTCATTTAAGCTAATGTTGCATTTTTAAGGGAAATATTCAATCGAAACTAAAATTCCAATTAATCATTTGACTGTCAGAAATGACCAAAGAATACCACTGTCGATACCATGAAACCGGTAGTGGTTTAATAACAACTGACAACTACTTTTTATATACTGGTACATGTATGTAATTCTTTGCAGATCGTTTAATATATATATATATCGAGAGAGAGAACACTTACCACCACCTCCTCCCCTACTTCTGCTGTTAGCGTGTCGAAGCCCTTCTTCAAGGTTTCTATTCTGCTGCATTAGAAGCCTTATCTGGTCGGCACTTTGGTCTGCTCTCCTTTGTTGGGCATCCAATTGCTCCTGGGTCAGTCGCATGCGGTGTTCCAATTCTCTGCTAATTCTCTGCGCTTCTGCGTCCCTGATTTGTATCTCATGTTGCTTCTCGCTGTTCACTCTCCGTATTCTTTCTTCATACTGCTCCCTCATTTCCCCCCTCTCTTGTTCCAGTCGTCTCAGATTTTCCTCGTGGTCAATTTGTAGTCTATCCAGTCTTTCCTCCAAGGCCTGCTGTGCCTCTGCGTTCTGCTGTTTCTCCAGCTCGATAAGGACGCGATGGGTCTCTATCTCCTCCTCTTTCTTGGCTACGGCCCCCGCAGTCTGATGAATCAGCTGGGTCTGGGTCTGCTTCTCGTTCTCGAAGTCTTCCCTCACCTGCCGGGCGCAGTGGGCGGGGCCCTTCTTAGGATACTCATCGTAGAGGACAAAGACCTTCTGTAAGTCTTGGATGTATTCAAAATGGCCGTCGGAATAGGAGTACTCATCTTCGTCGATCTTTTTCTGCACGATGCTGGTAAACAGAACATCCAGCATTTCTCTGCACAATCGAAGGGCCTCTGATTCGTTGTTTTTACAGATCATGGTGTACTCCTTTTCGATGTCTGCCTGGAATATATACAATTAAATTCACTTGTTAGGCTAGTGCCTGATTAAAAAGAATTGGAAGATATTTTTTTCCGCAAACCTTTAAATAATATGTCTGTAAATACAAAATAAGATTTGCAATTAAATATTTTATGGGAAGCAAAATTTCATGGGTGTTTATGTCATTAGACTCAATTATTCTAAAACAGCCATAAGAACTGTGATATGAATTCTGAAATATCTAAATCAACGCCAATGGCAAATAAAGGTCGAGAGAGAGAGAGAGAGAGAGAGAGAGGGAGAAAAAAAGAGAGAAAGAGATGGGGGGGAGGGTACCTTCATTCGATTGTAGAAGTCTCCATCGTCATCAAATATGGCGTACTCGGCAAAGGTTCTCTCGGCACAGTTATCAAAATTGTGCCTGTGCCTTCTTTTAAGCTCATCCTCTTGAAGCGGCAGCTCTTCTACAGTGTCTTGCATTGCTATTTTGTAGAACTGCAGCGCCATCTCTACTGCCTTCAGGCACTCCGCCTGGCGAACAGCTACCACAGCATTCTCCACAGATGGGATCTTATCTTGGCGAAAGGCCAGCACACAATTACGGGCGATTTCCACCAGATCTAAAATAATACGAGACTAAAGAATAACAGGAGAGGTATATGTATATTGATAACTGATAAACTGATAAAGTAATCTCTAAAACCTAGGAGGCAAAAATAGTGACGAGAAACTACATGCTGTTCAGGTACTTGATAACATAACTATACATGAACACGAATGACACACGATATATAATGGCAATTCCCATAAACATCTGACTTTGAAATTCACAACATAACCCCTATAAGTAAATGATTATCAAACCTCAAAATATTATATCAAATATTTGATATACTGTACATTAATTTTACAACAACTACTACATCAACAACAATAATAATAATTACATTGTATTACAGAACAACAACCAAAATCAACACAAAATTTGCTTTAGTTTTCGTATTTGATCTTATATTGGCAAATTACTATACACACACTGGACAAAAGAAGTGTCACCCCTACTGAGCCAATACTATGGTGGAGATAAATGACTGTGGAATGATATGCACCTGGTATCATTTTATTAACATCAAAATTCACAAAAAATCACAAAATGAGAACAAAATATACATTCTACCAAAATATGCAGTTTCAAGTCCAAAATTAGTACTTAGTGGCATAGCCACGTGACCTAATAATAGGTGCCAGTCTACGAAGCAAGGTTTCATATAATTGTCTGATGCGTTCAGGGCTTATGCTGGCCAAGCATGAAACACTGAATATAACAGAGTTTTTTTGCTGGTTAGACGGTCATTTGTAAAAAGTTTTGACATATCATTCAATACATTTTCTATTATGATTGCATCCGGACTCTGGGCAGGCCACATCACCCTGCGAATGTCCTGTTGTCAAACCAATCATCAACTGCTCTGGGCCTGTGACAAGGAGCATTGTCATCCTGGTGAACAAATGGAAAATTCCTGTCACCAAACATGTTAGTAATAGATGGCAGCAAGCCTGACTCCAAAACATCGATATATTTCTATTGATTCATGTTTCCACTAACCACTATCAATTCGCCCAAGCCATGCATGCTGATGCAGCCCCACACCATGATGAATATGCTGCTCCGGGTTCGAAAATTCAGTGCATGTGGTTCAAATGCTTTACCAGCAGTTTGCCAGCATAGTGCCCGTTTGTCATCAGAGGTCAGACCAAAGCGACACTCATCAGAAAAAATATATAGGACCAACTGTCATGAACTGTCCAGTTCCAGATCCTGTTGACCCTAGTTTACTCTACGTTGCCTGTATTGTAACGATATAAGAGGTTTCAGTCTTGCTACCCTGCTGTACACTCTCTGAGCATGTAACCGACGCCTAGCAATTTTCACAGACACATTCTTATGTGTGAAATTGTTCCACTGTGTTGTCAACTGACAAGCAGTGTCGAACTTTGACAACCTCGACATCAAAATCAGTCGTTGGGCTTCACGGCCAGTATTTTTTCTTGGACGACCTATCAGAGGCAATTTGTCTCTTGATCCAGTGTTTCTATACCGAGACCAGACCCTCTGCACGGTTTTGACTGAACAATTCAACTGTATCGATATTCTGACATTGCTTATATTCCGCCTCTTCAGGTTAATAACTTGCACCTATAGCCGTTAGATAATGCCTGTATCTTGCCATTATTGGAGGAAGACGGGAATAACATTTGCTGTACATGTACAAGACCAATAGCGGTATAGCGGTTTTATACTCATTAGTCACATTATAAGTAGACCAGGCATTATAAGTACCCAAGATCTGCCTACTTTTATTACTCTGAGTTAGGGGGTGACACTTCTTTTGTCCAGTGTGTGTACATAAAAATTGGACACTTACGTCTACTGTTCATCCACACTCCACGGACCTTCTTTGGCTCACTTTGCGCGTGGATGGTGGACACGAGCTGTGTGACACCGTCCACAAAGGCGGGCTGAAGTTGGTCCTCCGGGACCTCGTCCACCTGCCTCAGGGCCTCGTCCTCAGTCACTGGCCGGGGGAGAACAAAACAAGACCTGGTATGAAAAAGAGGGGAATCGTTGGCAATGACATAACCCGTTTTTACCTGTTTGGTCGTCTCACACATATATGTAACCAAAAGGCTAAAATATATAAAAGTTTATAAACACAATCAATATTCTCAACGCCCCAACTTCGAAAGGAGGGTGGCCAAAATACGTTCTGCAGGCAACCGTAAGCCCGCTGTAACAGGGACTTTACATAAAAAACGCTGCAAACTCGACTTCATCAAAAGCAGTACCTGTTTGGAAAGTAGGATTTCAGCTTGTCACGGGAATTATTCTGCAACCGTACTTTTTCTCGAAACCCTCTCTTTGCTTTGAGGCAATGCTCCAAGTAGACTGTTGGTGAACACGGCTGTCCGTCGATGGCTAATTCCAGCATGAAGTCTCTAACTACGAAATGTAGCGCAGGGAAAATTCGGTCCATGTTAATAACATTTCCTTCGTCGTCCACCCTGAGGACCAAGTGCTCAGAGAGCTCAGATACTAAGCTGGGCAAATCGTTAAGCAGTAAATTCAGGTGTAAAAAAAACACAATATAAATTGATATTATTTTTCATTTTATAAACTACAATACGTTATTGTTATTCTAATAATAAGTCAACAGTTTACCAGTTATGTACAGTGCACACGGTCAATGAGCAAATATCAGCACTCCCCCACCGACTTAAACTCCGAAGGAATTCTATCCAGCCCCCCCCCCCCCTAAAAAATTAGAATAACAACCTGTTGAATCAAAACGAATAAAAGAATGTATACCTGTCTCCCATATTATGACCAAAATTGCCATTTTCTGTTTTAGAGTTTTACACCGTGCCGCCCCCACCCCCCCCCTCCAAAAAAAAAAAAAAAAAAAAACACTGGAAAAATACTGGATCCGTCAGTGAATCACCATCAATGAAGGATACTCTAGAAGTTCTAAACAGCTTTCATCTATCACACCCTGGCAGTTGTAGATCAGGGTACTGCTGAGGATAACAGACAGAACAAAGATCTGAATGTCCCGGTTCTCGTCGCCGTCTGTGGCATGGGACAGACCCTCAGTGTCCAGTAACAGCAGGTTATGATTGGGTCTGGTGGGGTGGTCAGTTATCCAGGCCCAAATGCCTAGAAATGTCATTTAATTATATATTACATATCTAACACAAACAGACAAAAATATCACACACTCACACACACACACACACACACAGAGAGAGAGAGAGAGAGAGAGAGAGAGGGAAGCGGGGGTAGAACATTGACAAACAAGAAGACAGACGGACAGGCATCTTTATAAATATTGGCATTATGAATATCAATCATAAATACCCTTCGTTGCGGCGTTGATGGTCGGACCGAGTGGGAATCCCGCCTGCTTCCCCAACAGCCGGTTCATTAAGTACGACTTTCCTCGGCGAGCTCTGCCCACAATAGCTATAACCACTACAGGTTTCCCGTGCTGTTGTAGAGTGTCGGCTGTTTCATCGTGCACGAAAAGTTTCCCGTCACTGTCTACACCAATGAACGGCTTTGGACTGGTCATTCTCGAAGACATTCTGATAAGAAAGAAAAATGAAAACAACGACCTTAGATAAAAATTCAAGACAGAAGATTCCTTTCGAATTAAGCAGTAAAATAGTCTGATAAACCATCTCCTATCTATATCGTTTAAGAATTAAAATTTCACCTGAATTGTTTTATATCGTAATAGTGTGATTAGCTTAATAACATGAGGTGATATTTAGAAAAGAATGAAATAAAAAGAAATTGAAATAAAAAAGAAAAAGAGGAAGAAGAAGAATCAAAAAATTTATTGACTTTTACTTTTAGATCAACCTTTCCATTTTGTTACATGAAAGATTAGTCATAAAAATGTACTCAACTGAAAGCACACACAGACTGAAATTCATACAGAAAGATAGTGGGAATTTTTCTACCCTAAACATGTAGGTAGGACAGTTGCCTCAATTTCGATATACGCTCATTAGCAATGATGTTTTATCTGTACAACTACTACTACTACTACTGTAGTACTATTGTTAATACATGTTTACCGCTATCACTATCAAATAATAATAATAATAACAACAACAACACTGTTAAAGAACTGCACAAATGCGGAGTTTTCTGAATGTAAACAAAAACAGCTGTTCTTAATGTGAACGGGGAATCCCCGTTTGGCTGTAGTGTTATTCAGAACATTTGAAAGGAAGTCCACCCAGGTATAGGTGAGCCTCGAATTTTTTTTTTCGCATGTGAAGACGAGAAATACTCTCAAAATAATATGTCCAAGAAATGACTACTTATCTTGGTCCCAAATGTGCCTATGAAATACGGCACAGGTGGTAAGCTATCATACTGAATGTCCCGATTTCAGCATACATGCATCGGATGGCCATTTTTAATACATTGTACATGTCACTAAAACCGGGTCATTCAATAGCTCAACATATGTTGACAATTTGTGTGTAGTTCTAAACAGGGGGTTGGTATAATTCCCGTGCCCCACCCAATAGTAAATAGTGCACAGGAACAACAACAGCTGAAAAAAACTTCATTTGTGATATCCTTTTTTGTAGATTATTGTTTTTCTACATCCATAAGCTTTACAAATGTCGTACATGCTACAGCGTACGTACCTTATCACCCTGTTACCTAGCCCTGTCTTCCACGACGGCGAACGATGGTGCAGTATTCTCAGTGAGGCAACCTATGTACTGGCCTGGGCCTCTATCACCCACAAATGACCTCGTTGTTTGTAGGATTCAACAGCCAGTTCGTGTATTGATTGTATCTTGTTGCATTTTATGCATGTTACGAAACAAAGAGAAAACGCCCCGACCGTATGTACTCCTAGTGCTGGTTGTAAGAAAAATTCCCCGTGTCTGTTTATGGACCGAAACTTAAAATTTCTATGATTCACGCAATTACTCTGCCATAATTTTCCCCACCGATAAAGATAGGCCATGCGCGAATTGATTATGAGAGGTGACCTAAAGAGTCAAATTGTTGTTGCTGTTGGGGCAAATGTGAATGGGTCGTCAAACAATGACAGGGTCAAAGTAGTGATGTGTAAACATTGAACATCAATATGGCGTCCGGGTTTTTTAGTAGCTAAAAACCAGGTGTCTATATGTAGCAATGGGAATTCCGCACAGACCAAAGGTGAAAATAGAAGTGGGGATTTTTCCTGTTTCTTACATCTACGGTATTTAAGCGGGCGCATGAGCTTTTGACACCCTCAGATCGTGGTTGTGAATGCAGGGAAAGATCTCAGTGCATGTAAATGCGGTCAGAGCGACGTTCTTATTTCAACCAGTAAGTTACTCAATTTCTAAAATATTTGTTTTACGCGTTTTAAGACAGTTGCACTTGTGCGTGTGTATGTTTTACATGTTTGAGCTTTGTGAAACTATAAAGAAGAGTCTTCGCGCCTTTGTCTTTCCTTTGGTTGTACAAAATGTATGTGACAGTCTAGATATATTTTTATAACATCACAATTGCAAACAATATATATTCCTATTTTGTTGGAGGTGGGATTGGTTACAGTGCACATGCTTGCTATCTGAATGCACTGTTTGTTTCGACGTAGATACATGTATAAACCGACCTGGTCAAAGCCTACATGACGTATTTATTTCAAATCTGCCGTTTACATGTAGACCTACAGGCACAGTACAAATAGAACTAGACCGGATCAAATGATCTTCTGGTTCTGAAATTTCAGAGATTTATATGAATAATAATAATAATAATAATATTTATTTCTTAAAACCGCACTACACTAGCGTCTCAGTGCTGTTTACAGGTAAAATTATTAGGATTACAACTTATTATATATATAATAAAAGCTAAGATAAAAAAAAAACAATTAAAATAATTAAAACTGGTTAAAATAGTAATGGTCTGAACAATAAAACTTTTTTTCTGATAAAATGAGAAGATATTAATTAAAATACTGTGCAAATAAGAATGTTTTTAAATATTTTTTAAAAACCTCAACACTGTCAATAGTCCGAATGTGTGAGGGTAATTGATTCCATAAAATTGGTGCTGAAATTGAAAATGCCCTGTGGCCGTAGGTTTTGGTTGTTTTTTTATTATCATTTCTGATAAAACAAGGAGTGGAGGTGGATCTGGTAGACCTGGTGAGACTGGGTGTACTTGGATGTAGCATCGAGTTAAAATATGAGGGGCATTCACCTCTAGTGAATTTAAAAACAAACAACAGTAATTTAAAAACAATTCTCTGTCGTACAGGAAGCCAATGTAGTTCGAATAAAATGGGTGAAATGTTTGATCTGAGAGGGATTTTGGTCAGTAGTCGTGCTGCAGCATTTTGGACAGATTGCAATTTTTATATTTCTTTTATATTTCCTTAGCGGAACGTGAATGTTAGTATTTCCTTCAATCGATTTGGTACAGATGCATATATCAGTGTTCTTTTGAGGAAACAATACATGTAGGTCTATAGAAGATTCAGGAATTTTTTAAGGGGAGGGGACACAAATAGATAAAAAAAAACTCTGTACCTCTTAACATGCTTGATCCGCCATTGTACACGTAGCCTCTCGAGATTCGACATGACAAGCATCGTTAACGTTTTATCTACAAATATTTTAATCATAGATAAAAAAGGCTTTGCGTCTCATAAAGCATTGCACGTAGGCCTATCTAGGAGGGCATTGTTCAAAGCTGTGGGACGAAAACCAAATAAATCATGATACTAACTTATTTAGAACATAAGGAGATCTCTCACTGAACGGCAAGCATTGAGTATCGGGGTGTTTCTATACATTAGGATCGATTTCCTTATCAGATTAGAGTAAGCAGTAATAAACACTGTCACGTTATGAGATAATGTTCACACATGGAACATACAGCGGGGTGAATTGGCTTATTCAAGCTGGTGAGGTACGGTGCATTTTTAAAACTGTTAAAACTGTCTTACAATGATGAATTTATGTTCAAAACATCTCACATCTTATTTTTCAAAACTTTGACTTTTTACTTTAAACTTATGTTTTTAGACTTTTTTCAAGATACTCAAGGTATTTGCAAAAGGTATTTCCAAATGTCACTCAAAATTTCTTAATAATTGAGAACTTTATTAGTCACTTTATTAGTCATGTTTTTAAAATAAAATATGTTGTTGACTGTATTACTTGATTGAAATCGTTTCCATCTTTATGTCTAATAGTTGGTCATTTGAACCTTCCAATTATTATTCATCAAAAAATTAAAATAACCTCAAGGGCGGATCCAAGATCTTTCCAAAGGGGGGGGGGGGCGATTTTTTAAGAATGAGAGGCTTCGGGTACGAAGTCGACCTTCGGCCCTCTTGGGGTGTTTTGGAGAGCAAACGGTGCTTTTTGGAACGGTTAAAAACTATAAATCAGCTGGTCAAAATTCTAATTCCAAGAGGGCGCCATCAAACCTCCCCCCAATTTTATTTCTATTTGATTAAAATTAACCAATATACACATTACATTTTAAATGACTCAAATAATGACTAAATTTGCCGAACTGATTTTCTTCTCATGAAACACAAAGTATTTGCCTTGGTTGTTCCCAATGCTCACTGAGTACTTCTAAATAATAATTACTTCATAATTCAAAAGAAAATCTTCTGCTGACTTGATAAAATTTTACTTGACGGAATTGCTTCCTTGTTTCTTGTTTATCTAGTTTATTTCTGTAAAATTTACAGAACTGGTTTTGCAATTTTTTGTCTTGAACTTGGTTAGCAACTTCAAAGGTGTCACTAGAGAAGCTTGAACAAATGACGTGTATGAATGGTGTTATTTTGGTGTCCGACTACATTCTTCTAAAGTGAAACTAGCGGCTTGTTTTCATGACACACAATTACGGTATTTCCCATACTCATTGAGTATTTCCAAATAATCATTTACATCATAAGTCCTCATCTGATATTTTGCTGACCCTAAAAAACTTTCCTTATCAAGACTATTCTATTAACTTTGGATACTAAGCACCTGGCTTGAACAATGGACAGAAACGATTAGGAGCAACGTTAGTCTATATTGATAATACCCATTCGTCAGGGATATAATTATTATTATTATTATCTTGATATATAAGGTATTGCTATTACCTTGAATGAATATAGTGAAATAATTAACCATAGTGAGAGTAAAGAACCATGCATAATTAAGCGATTTATTCTGATGTTTTGATGCTGAATAATTACCTCAAAGTGCAAGTGACAAAAAAATTGATAATTGAAGCGACTTAAATTGACTGACTTCTTTTTTTGTGAAAATAAAAGTATTTTTTATCTGGGAAAGTGAAATGGGAAGAGTTTATTCCTGAATCGAATTGCGGAAATGATTTTAATTTTTTTCCCTGGAACAAATTCGTATTTTTACGGGGATAAACAGAAACACCACTTCATAATTTTAAATAAAAAACTTAGCAGTAAGGTAGTTCGAACATTTTGACGTGTTTAAATTACATTTTTACGTTTGGCTAGTGTACCTGACTTGAAACAAGCGGCTTTTTTCATGACTCAAAAATAATCGATAACTTCATTAGTCATCATCTAAAAAGAGAATATTTTCTGACTGTATGAATTTTCTCAATCATAGTTATGCTACTGACTTTGGACATAGCTTAAACATGTTAAACAAACTCAACATTTTTAAATGTTTTCAGTAACAGATAATGCGATTCCTACATCAAAAATATATTGTTTTTTTTTGTAATTTATAAAGGGCTGCGTGCCTCTTAAGAGTTAAAACATTACCCCCCCCCCCCCCAACAAAAAACTTACTATAGTCAAGGAGTTATAACTCCTTGCTATAGTCCTCGTCTACCTTTTTACGAAGCGAGAAAAATGGGTTAAGGTCGTACTCCCTCTCCACAACAAAACGTTTATGTAAAAGGATACATGTGACACCACCGAGTTAGTATACTTGGTTGTTAAACAAAAGTTCTAAGTTTCATGTTACCGTACCTATAAAAAAGAAAGATCTTACATGTATCACCTTTCATTTTCTCATTGATTTCAACCAACGAAAGATGAAGCGATGTCATTTCAAAACTGAATTATCATGAATCACGCCTTGCACCTCTATCAATTATTGACAGCATACACTGCACAATTGTATTGATATCTGGCTGGGGCCCGGTGCATGGGTATATAATCGTTGGGAATGAGTCAGCTCTTTCAAAGTTTTATTAAGTTTTAATTCAAAACAATACTTTCATTCCACATATTTCCGGCGTATGTTTATGGGGCAAGCACAGACGGCCATCGATTGACACGCTTTAACCTTGACGTGACTGTTTCTTTTGATACGGGTCAATCAGCTATTTCCTTGATCTCAATGCTGTCTGCCTGAAAAAAATAATAATAATTGTTCGCTGTCTAAGCTAATACAAACACTACTATATTGTGCTTACATCAAAAATATAAATAAAGGGTAAAATAAGGAATAAAATATCTGTTAAATCTTAAAAGTTAATAAATGTGCTGAGTGCTTACTCATTGTGCTGCTAACTGAATATACTGTGATATTGCCTTGAGTGATTTATGATCTTGAGGGTTGAGGAAGATAAGTAGTTTCTGATCACTGCCTGCTAATTCATATATATATATATATATATATATATATATATATATATATATATATATATATATATATATATATATAGGAGGGAACTGAGCATACTTTGTCGCTCTATTTGGTACCTGCTGCACGTGAGGAGGAAATGTTTCTCGCCCTCTATTTCCGTTTTACAGGTTCTTTCTTCCAGAGGGATTTTCATGTGCCTGCCTTTCTCTATCGCCAGCTCATGGTCACTTATTCTCATTTTGGCAATGTATTTTTTGTCTGAGCTTGTGGCACTGATTTTTAAGTAATTTTCGAGATCGTATGAGCGTTTTAGTATTTTATTAGTTTATTGTAGTTTTCCCTGTTCAAATCTTCCCAAAAGAGACCTTCAGTTTTTTTTTTATTAATTTCTTTTTCTAGGTCAGAACAACTAGCCCCCTTTTAATGCATTATATATAGATAGTCTAATAAGAGATTACCCAAATGCTTAACTACATACATGCAGGGAACTTTGATACATGTATATGTTTTTAGTATTTTTTCAGGTCCATCGTCTCTAAGGAAGTACCATAACATTGTAGAGTGTTCATCAAAAGTGAAACTAGCAAGCAATTGTGAGGCATCACGAGATTAGAAGAGAGCTTACCTACCTAAAATAAAATGGCAGACAGGAAACCACAGGTAAATAATCCATTAGATAACTGTATTTTAATCATGATTTCACTTAATGATTATACTTGCGGTGGGATATCGACTCAATATGACTTGACTGCCGTGGAATATTAAGTATTTCTCTGTTCTTTAAGAACAGAAATGTTAACTTATACTTTTAACTGGTTTATTATGCAGTAAATGTACAAATATGTAAACCTATTAGAGAAAAAAAAACGCACTGGGTATTTTAAAACGCGGTCCTTTTTCAGTGTGTTCGTATGTCACTAAAAAGAAAACTATGTTGAGGATACATAAACTGTTTTAAAAGAAAACCATATACACGGTGTGATAAGGTCCAAGAATTACTATGGTGTATTGTTTAAGTAAGGTGGGGGGACCAAAAAAACACGAGTAGGATATATAAACAACCTATTAACCATTTTTTTTTCACACAACACTGTTTGTTACTTTATTTGCTGGGATTTAGAAAACTAAGAATCTATGACATAACATGCATGTAAATGTAGATAGATAGATAGATAATTTATTCTAAAGCAGAAAGTACATTTTTACATGCTCAGATTATACACACTATATTTATGCAATCAGTGTAACAAAAACAATTTCATAATTATACTCAACTTGGTCCAGTCAATATGGCCGTAATATATGCTAATAAAACGATAACATAATTATTATTAATTAACATCAGGACAATAAACAGTTTACAGGTACAAGGCACATGCAGTACCTGTCTTCAAAATGATTATACCTTTATCACTAGCCATGCAAAACGTTTTTGCACATATATGGTGTACAGTTTACAAGTGCACATGTATGGGGTGAGTATTCAATTGTCATTTGATTAGATATAAGATGTGGCAAAGAGCCATACTGTACCGTTATATGTGTCCTGCTCTCTGGCCTATTTGGATAAGATAAGAGTTTATTTAGCCAATTATAAAAATCGGAAATCATTTTCCATTGGAGCAATATACAGAGTAAAATAATAAAATAATAAATAAATAAATAAATTAAGAATTTAGCTTTGAGATCAAATTAAAATGCGTCACTGCACTTGGATAAAAGCTGTTTAAAAAGCGTTTACTGCCTTTAAAAGTTAAAAGTCTACTGTTGCTTGGTAAAAAAGTAAAAAGAGAGGATGCAGGATGGAAAGCGTCTTTCATGGTGTTGACAATTCTTTTCTCCATCCTGTCCTTAAAAATATCATCCAGCTTGGGGAGATCTTGTCCGATAATCCTGCTTGCAGTTTTTACAACGTTTGCTAATTTCTTCCTTTCCTCCCCAGCTGTTCCGCTATACCATATTATAATTCCGTACGCTAGAATGCTTTCAATTACACACCTATAAAAATTGACTAAAATAGGCACACTATCAGTAAAAGTTCTCAATGATCTTAAAAAATACAGTCTTTGCCGTGCCTTCTTTACAGCCAACGTGATAAGGCAGTCTCCGTTCATTCTTTCAAGTATCACCTGTGCGAAGAGGGCTGTTGAAGCTTTATTTTATTATCAAAATGTATAAGCATTTCGCTTCTAATATGATATATATCTCGAATTACAGCTTATGACGAACTGATTTCGTCCTGAATATGGTTGATAAGCACGGTAATCAAATTAGGAGTTAATTTAGGAGAAGGAGAAGGGTTTTGATGTACACTGCAACTGATGACAAATGGTTAAACCAACAAATATTCGGGCTTAATGCATCTTTATTTCTACACCACTAATTATCCTCTAAACCACTACCACTGTAAACTAGAGATAGTATTGCAAGACCCAGTGTCTTTCTCACAAAACTTATATAGAGAAGGAAACAATTGAAATGTTCTTGTACTATTAACCTTATGCTGCACTCAACGCGGCTTGCTGCTGCTGCTCTGCCGTTTAAACTGCGACTGACCGTCGGGCAGTAACTCCTTAATATGATATTGGAGTAATAGTGTTAAACAGTAGGGAATAGAGCTCAGTCTTAGAGTAACACACGATAGAGATCGAAAGTTTTCTTAGGTGCAGCTCAAGTAAGAATAGAAAAGGAAAATTATAATTGGTTCATTTTGAATAAATACTTTGCTTTTATATTTTAGAATTAAATACAACTGCTCTATTGTCACGAGATACGGTATTTACTCTTTAAATTCCAACTAAACAAGATAAAAAATGATCACAAGTCAGTGCTTCGTATGTAAAAAATGAAAATGTTTATTTAAAATCATTTATAGGAAGCTGGTTTCGAGTCAAAAAGCACATCTTTATAGAGAACTAAAAATAACCAAACTTAATTGAAAAATTAATTATGTGAGTAAGTGAAATGTTTAGAAAATTCGTGTAATTGCCATTATTCCTTAGTTTGAGATCAGGGCTCTGTATCTCGAAAGGTTCGCTATGTTGCGCACGTGCGCAAGCGTCTCGATTCCATGGCCCCGTATCTCGAAAGAATCGGTTATGGAATCGAGACACTTGAGCACGTGCGAAAGCGTCTCGATTCCATGGCCCCATATCTCGAAATAGAATCGGTTATGGAATCGAGACACTTGCGCACGTGCGCAACATAGCGAACCTTTCGAGATACGGAGCCCAGCACGTCCATGTCCGAATGAATGTAAATATAAAAACGACATAAATTAAAAAAAAAAACAATTAACCAACTGATCGCAATTACTGATATATTCAAAGCTTGTTAACATCACATTACTGCGTTGTTTTGGGGATTTCGGTGATTCAATCCAAGAAATGATCTGCCCTAATGTAAGAGACCATTGACAACCCCGTCTTTTATTTGTTGAAATCTTGCAAATAAAAGATCCGGCATCCGCTCTGTTCTGTAGGCACGTTTCGTTATGGACAAACCTCTGCCCTTGATCACAGCATGTGGTGACGGACGCAAGTTTACCATCAACGAAGAAGCTAAAAAGTGCCTGCTGAACATAGACAAACCAATGTCCGTAGTCGCCATCGTCGGCAAATACCGCACGGGCAAGTCGTATCTGATGAACAGGCTTTACGGCAAGAACTCTGGATTCGACCTGGGCAGCACGGTCCAGTCTAAAACCAAGGGGATCTGGATCTGGGCCCGGCCCCACCCCAGGGATAGCAACAGGTATATGTTGCTGATTGACACCGAGGGCCTCTATGACGTGGAAAAGGGGGACTCAACCTACGACACTCAACTTTTCACTTTGGCTGTTCTCCTTTGCAACTGCTTCGTCTACAACAGTCAAGGAACTATAGATGACGATGCCATAAGAAAACTACAGTATCCTTTAATACATGTATAAAAATTATATGAAACAGCTAAGAAAAAAGCGTGCTTGATTGTGTATACTGGGATCATGTATTGGCTTATGGGCTTATGTATAATTCGTGTAAACAAATTTGATAATAAAAGTTTTTTCCTTGAATATCTTAAAAATCAGCTTAGTGGCAGAATTGACAGAGCATATTAAAGTCCAAGCCGGCAACAAGGAGGAGACAGGAGAATCATTCAGCAAGTACTTTCCACAATTCATATGGGCTGTACGCGACTTCGCCCTTCAGCTTGAAATCGACGGAAGAGCATGCACTTCTGACGAATACCTTGAGCACGCTTTGCAGCTAAAAAAGGGCAAGAGCAGAGCCGTTTTTGACTTCAACGCCCCTAGGGAGTGCATCCGGACGTTCTTTCCCCAAAGAAAGTGCTTCGTTCTCCAGAAACCAGTCGAGGATGAGGCGTTGCTCCATCGCTTGGACCAAGCCAACGATGGCGATATTAGGCCAGGGTTTCTGAGAGAGGCTCAGAGGTTTTGTGAGGCGGTCTGGACTGGCGTGGATGGTTTTACAGTACAGGGGAATACAATAAACGGTAGAAGTAAGTTCCTCGTTGATGATTTTGTTAAGCAGCAGGGTCTAGCTGTTGGCCTAATAGGCCCCTAGTATTGATTTAGTATACGTGTGATAAAATGTGTTAATGTTAAATGACATTTAACTTTGTTAAATTACAGGTTTCATACATGACAAATTATAAGTCAGGCCTTATATGAAAGAACATCTAAAATTCCTGTTCTCGAATTGCAATATAAAACATGAATATAGGTCTAGATCTATAGTACTTCGACAGATGCCTTATAACTTAATTACCTGGTTTTGATTTAGTCATACTATTTTTCTTCTTTCAAAAGGGTACGTGGCCTTGGCAGAAACATACGTACAAGCCATCAACTCTGGTGCCGTGCCATGTATTGGTACCGCAGTGGAGACCATGATGCAGGTGGAGTGCCAGAGGGCCTTAGAGGAGAGTGTGAAACACTACAGAAAAACAATGGAGAAGACCACTGTACCGAACATGCCTCTTTTTCTGCATGAGTTATCAAGCCTCCACGAGCAGGCCAATGAGGAAGCCCTCCGTGTTTACAAGGGCATAGCTGTATTTGACGCTGAGGGGATTTTTCATACGAAATTACAAGTAAGCTATTTGAGAAAAAAGTTAACACTATAAACAATCTCAAACATATATTTTGGGATTTTAAACCTCATCAAAGAAATCAGGGGAACTCACTTAAAAGTGGTGGAGGCGGTAAACAACCATTTACACTACTGCTTAATTGTTCAAATTAGTCTCCTTTGTCGTATCCTGTTTTTGCAAACTAAAATGGTGAGATTGCATGTAAGTGGAATGACTAGAAACATGTGCTTGTGTTTTATAGGAACAACTGCTGTCTATCTATGACGATTTTGTGCAGAAAAACAAAGAAGCTTCAAGGAAAAAGTGCAAATCTATTCTGCAAAACGCGTATGCCGATATTGCCAGCAATATCCAGGCTGGTCACTATGCAGTCAAAGGGGGGTACAAGAAGTACCAAGCAGATTATCAGAAAGTAAAAGAGATATACGCCAACACACAAAGGAAGGGTCCATGCGCTGACGAGGAACTGGCACGGTTCAATGAAGCCAAGATATGTGAGGGGAAAGCGATTATGACTGCTGATAAGGTACGAATTGATATTTAGCCTATCAATAGATCGCATCTAAATATGTTAAATTCATTGTCTTTTCAATGAATTATCTAACTGGGGAAATTGTTATGCATTGATGGTCTTGTTAAGTAAACCCGAGTTCTTTTCACTTTCAGGCGATGTCACAAAAAGAGAAAGACCTTGCAGAGGCCAGAGAAAAGCAACAACAAGAGGCATTGAGGTCTAAATCCCTGGAAGAGCAACAGGTGCAGCTACAACAGCAACTTATAGACAAGGAGAAGAGCAACCTCGCCATGATGCAAAAAGTCCAAGCCGAATTTGATGAGAAAATACGGGCCACTCAGGAGCGACATGAGGAGGACATTCGGACTAAAGACGAAGAACACCAGCGCCTCCTACAGGAGGGCCTCCACACTCAGGCAGAACAGCACAAGGAAATGTTGGATGAAATGAGACAGAACCAGAGGGAGCTCCAGGAACAATATCAACAGCAGGTTGACAAAATGAACGAAGATATGTTGCGTCAAGAGAACCTTATTAAAGAAATCAAGGAAAACCCACCTAAAAGTGGCGGAGGTAAACATAACTATTTACACTACTACTTAATTAATTGTTATAATGAACAAGTGTAACTGTAAAGTAACCTCACTTGAATAAGATAGTAAGAGATTTGTCTTGCTGTAGTGAATCAGATGGGTTCTTTCATATTCTTTATTTTATTTTTGTAATTATAATAGACAATTGGTCAAACCTTTGTTTTTCAGGTATTGTCCGCTCTATTGGAGAAGTCGTCGGACAGCTAGCAAGGGTTTTAATTTTTAAGAAATTTTTTTGATCACTAAAGTGCATTATGGCACTATCCCGAAAACCGACCTATCAACAACAGTAAAAACGCATATCAATTTTATATTGCAGGCATAGGGGGATTTTTTGGCGAATTACTTGGAGGACTTGTGTCAGGATTTTTTGGAGGAATTGGAGGAGGCCTGTTAAAGAAAATTTTTTGAATTCCTTTCAAGAGGGAACATACATAAAACTGCTTGTTGTGATTCAGATGACACTTTGCAATATATTACAAGTCTTAATTTATTGACTGTTAACATTCTGTATGTCAACTTAACTTTTTAGTTAAAAAATGGAGATTGCGGCGTGAAGTCTCTTTCTCTCTCTCTCTCTCTCTCTCTCTCTCTCTCAGTGTGAACATATCAAATAGCAATAAATGCTTAATAATCTAAAGCTCACTTTCAAATTAACCGTAAGTATTATTTCTAAGTGGAAATCTATAAATGCCGCTTACATGTATTTTAACATCGCTAATTATTCGTGTGTAAACTTAATGAAAAATTACATTTAAATTTATTGTATTTGTATTAAGCACAATTGTGTGCTTGAATTGTACTTGTATTCAACATCGCTACAGGCATACAAATAATTTCATACTGTACATGCAACGAAATATGTTTTGAAAATAGATGTGTTATATTCAAGAGAGTTTTATTTTGTTTTATTGATAATTTGGTCAAGGCAAAGCAGGTCCGTTATTTTTTCATTGGTGTTGCATATGTTCGTATGCACTGAAAGTATGTGTAAATATCCTTATTGCTTAGGGACAACGAAAGTAGGCCCGGAAATATTTCCCTCATTTTCATCCACACAGTATATGTGAGAAAGTTGGTAGAGTTATACAGAATAGTCAAAAATCATCTAGTATATCAAATACTTGCATGAACCATATGAAACAATACTATATGCAAAGTAAAGGGTATGAAAACAAACGCAAACGATAACCAACTGACGCACAGCCAATCATGATTTTATTTTCAGGAAATTGAGTTTATATTTTACGCACTCAGGTTACTTGTCGGAAAAAACTAATTGTTTGCTTTAGTAAGTAAGTAAGTTTATTAAGACATGGTAACCAAGGTTGAAGTTATACATAAAATGGAGTGAGAATAAAATTTTAAAATTTATAAATTAAAATAATAATAATAATATAATACAGGATATGCGAATACAACTTAATGAGATTAAAAAACTTAAAATTAAAAATAAAATTATTAATATAAAATTATTTTTTGCACAGGTATCTAAAAGTTTGTGTAAAAGAGGATGGAGTAATGAAAAATAAATACAACAAAGGCTCAAATGACTTTTAAAAGTAAAACTCAGACCACTAATGGTTTAATAAAGAGAAAGCAATAAATGTGTTTTTAAACAGGGTTATTTCGTTTGTTAACTTTATTGTATGAATAAGTGTTTTGTTGTGAAATAAGAGAAAACTAAGTAGTCAAAACACATAACTGAATGGCAAGTAGCAGCTGACATTAAAAGTTTAAAAGGGTGTTTATTTTGCAAACCGAATAACGTATGCATGGCACTCGATCTGTGTTACCTTGTGATTTTGAACAGCAATATCAAAGGCAACGCCCTCTGAACGAGCGGTGACTAGCCATGTTTTACCAGTGCTGACGTCTTAGAGGCATCCAACTTTCTTCAATGTCCGAGAACGTTAATCAATTTCCTTTAAAATTATTTAAATTGCCACATTTATACGGGCTTTGATAACTGCTTCCATCAAATTCTTCGATGGCATAAGGACGGGTTTACAGTTAATGAACAATCTGGGATATACATTTGATTCCGACATACATACATACATGTATGTTCAGCTATACATGTGCAGCATGTATAAATGAAAAAAACTACACTCTTTATGTCAGCTAGCTTTGGGATGCTCATACTTTGATTAAAGGGGTTATGACTTTACATTCTTTATTAGGAACCCGGGTTTACGGATAAACCAGTACTTTTTATCGGGACGTCTGAAAATGGGAAGCTTGAGGTCAGCAAAGATGCAATAACAGCTCTGCAAAACATCGATATCCCCGTAAGCGTAATCAGTGTTACAGGAAAGTATCGTACGGGAAAGTCCTACTTGATGAACTTACTGTTCGGCGAGAGCAATGGCTTTGCCTTAGGGTCCACGATCCAGTCCAAAACCAAGGGAATCTGGTTATGGTACCGCCCGTACCCAGGAGATTCAAACCGAGGCTTGGTGCTCTTGGACACGGAAGGATTGTCTGACCCTGAAAAGGGCAATGAAAACCACGACAACCAGATATTTGCGTTAGCCGTGCTTTTGTCAAGTTGCTTGGTGTATAATAGTATGGGTACAATAAGTGAAGACGCCATCAGAAGCCTTCAGTATCCTTTACATAATTTTCTTTATTCGTGATTTTTTTATTTGCGGATAACTCACAAAGAAATAACTTCTGGTATACAACGTAATAATTCTGAACCTTAAATGGTTAGGAATAATGCTCTACAGTTCAATTACAGAGTTGTTAATTAATTCAGTTTAATTAAGTTTCAATTTGTAATGATAGACTAAACTTGTTTAGACATTTTGAAACGTGTAAAAAAAAAACTTTGCTCACTTATTAATGAAAAATTCCCCATAACTTTATCATATGTATTAGTTTTAATTACTTTGCTTCTTGTAAGAATATTCAACCAACGTCTCACTTGTATATATATTATAAAGCTGAAAAATGTCTTAGAGCCATTTTCCTCAACTTGGTGGTTTCATTACATCACTGACGGAGCACATCAAGCTTCAGAACACAGCCGACGAGGAAACCGGTGAAAACTTCGACGATTCTTTCCCCTTCTTTGTTTGGGTAGTCCGTGACTTCGCACTAGAACTTCAGCTTGATGGTAAACCTTGCACAGAAGATGAATATCTCGAAAGGGCGCTGCAGCTCAAGCCAGGAAAAAGTCGAGCCGTTCGCGACTATAATTTTCCCAGAGAATGCATCGGTTCGTTTTTCAGCGGCAGGAAGTGCTTTACGCTATGCAGACCTGTCGAAGAGGATTCCAAGTTACAGACCTTGGACACCCTGAATACTGAAGACCTAAAGCCCCAGTTTGTCAAGCAGTCAGAAGACTTCAAAAACTGGATTTTGGAGCAGAAGATGCAGATGAACGTTGGTGGATGCATTATAAGCGGCAGAAGTAAGTGTTTTTATTATTGTTAATGTGTAGAAATATGACTAACTTAAATGCATTGATTGATAAATAAAATGAATATAAGTAAATAAAAATGCTCAGAGAGCAAAGTTATTTGCGAAATTGCTAAATTAGTTTAATAAAACATAAATTAATTTTTAATAAGTCAATGCAACAATACTGTGAAAATAATAATACAACAACGTTGCATTTATGAGACGGTTTAATGGTTTCAATTCATGGTTAAAATCGTTAGCTTTTTGGCAGTGGCTTTCAGCTATCTATTTGAATTGACCCACTTCAATCCCACATACATATAACCTTCTTTCCATAGGATTACTTCAGTTAGCCCAGTCCTATGTTGGCGCCATCAATGACGGGGCAGTGCCATGTGTTCAGAGCGCAGTGACAGTGATGGGAAGGAACGAATGTGAACGGGCGATTGACCTGGCCTCGAACGCATATATGGAAGAGATGGACAACGCCTTGGGAAAAGCTCTGCCGGTTGACATCCGGGTTCTCTCTGAGAAACACAAATCAGCATCTGACTCCGCTGTGAAGCTGTACCACGCAAATGCCATGCTCGACTCTGACGGCCAGTATTCGCAGAAACTGCAGGTGAGGTCCAATGGAATGGACATTCCCAGACTCTTTCTTCAATTCCAAGACTCTTTCTTCATTCCCAGACTCTTTCTTCAATATCTTTTCAGACATTTGAACCGTTACATTGATATGTTACTTAACCTATATTAAATGATTCTCTTGTAAAAAGTCGTCCTCGTTTTCCGTGTCATGAGAAGAAATAGATGATGGTGAGTAATCTGTAATAACTGTCTCCTTCGATCCTTTCGTTCCCTTGTTAACCCAAGAAACACATGCATTCAATAAAACACTTTCCCACCATTACCATGAAACGCATTACCTGTAATGCGTTTCATGCTTCTGCTGCTTAATAATTGTAGGATGCACTGGACAACTGCTACCGGGTATACACAGAAAAAAATTGGCAGGCATCTGTCCAAAAGTGCGACCTCCTTTTAAAAGCCCTTGTACAGGAGTCACTGAAGCCAAAGCTAGATGAGGCAGCCTTCAGCGTCTCCGGCGGCTATGAAAAATACAGGGGAGAGATAGACACCATTGTGATGAAGTTCGAAAGATCTGAAGGAAAGGGTCCAGCAGCGGAGGAGCTGTTGGCTAAATTTCTTGCCGAAAAACAAGATCAAGAAGAGGCCATTTTAGCTGGAGATAAGGTAAAATTAGGCACTCTCTCTCTTAGTAGAGATTCTTACAGGTACTTCTTTGAAGAGTGGAAAGAAGAACTACCTGATATTGCCCACGAGTTTAGAAATCAGAATAAACCAGGTAGTTTAAGACCTCAAAATGACTGAGGGAAANTGCCTGGAATGTTATTCCAGATTGAACTCTAAAAACATATCCCAAGGAATGCCTTGCCGCTTGAGAGCGCTGGTAGCAGCCAGAAGAGGTCAGGCGTAACAGCGACTGTTACTGTGACTAGACACTGACATGAGGGTCCTTTGTGGAGCGTGTAACTCTTTTACAGACAATAATTTGGAAAATATGGAGATCTAAAATATCTCATTTAATGGTTGCCGTATGAAGTAGAAAAGGCAATGTGTTTTTGTTTGCTTCTCTGGCGAATTCCATTAATGAACTGATGTCACAATGACGTCAAAGAGATAATTAAAAGTTATTAGAACACGATTTTAATCCTTATTTTCATTTATCAGTCAGTAAAATAGGAAAAAAACTAATGAAAAATGATTTGGAAAAAATATTCCATATTAAATGTCAAGTCTGTACAAAGATAAATTGGTTGATATATGGTGCATTAAGAAACAATATATATTTTTTATGTAGGCAATGACTAAAATGGACAGGGAAAAGGCTGAAGTAGAAGAAGAAGCCAAAAGACAAGCTGCTGATGCCGCCGCAAAGAGCCGCGAAGCAGAGATGTTGAAACAACAACTACTCGATGTTGAGAACAGCATGCAGACCAATATGACTATGCTGAAAGGCGAGTTTGAGAAGAAGCTACAAGAAACCGAGGCCGGTTACAAAGCTTTACTTGCAAAGAGGCAAGCAGAGCACGAGGAGCTTCTGAAGTCTGAACTGAAGACCCAAGCCCAGCTTTTAGAAAAGTCCATTAAGGATGTGAAAGAAGAGCACAACAGGACCAAAGAGAACATGGAGGAAACGATCTCAACCTTGAAGACCACTATGGAAAAGAGACAGTCTCAGTTGGCTGAGATTTCCCAACAACCTAATGAAGCCGATGGTGAGTGTTTGCCATTTCTCTCCGGGTATGCCAGGCCCGTAGCCAGGGGGGTTCGGGGGGGTTCGAAAGAACTGCCCCTTTTGTCAAGAAAAGGCCCATTTTTGGTAATTTTTTAATAGGTACACATAAGTTTCATTGTAAAAGGGTCAGCTTTTTAAGATAAAGAACCCCCCTCTTGATTTTGCTGGCTACGGGCCTTTATGGTGACACTACTACTGCCCTTTTGCTCTGAATATGAACTTTTTCACATAATGTAGAACAGTTTCATTAGCTATGTTATTGTAATAGACTTGTGAAGATTCTTTTGTCTATAGCTATTTATATTAGTTTGATCTTACCATCAGAATGAAATATTGGATGGTAAGATCAAACTAATATAAATAGCTATAGACAAAAGAATCTTCACAAGTCTGTTTCACATAAGAATTGTATTCGATGTGAAGTAATCGTCTTCCTTGTTTCAAATTGGACGGTAAACAAGCTGCCAATATAATCTCGTTAAGGCGATTTGCGAAATGCAGTTGAATAGCTTGAAGGTAATTATTGTAGTTAATATTTTAAAATCATACAGTAATCTTATGTAGGCCTACGTTTTATACGTTTATTTCAGGGACCGGGTCTCGCATCTTGACTTGGATGAAAGAAAACCCAGAAACCCTTTTAGAAGCGTGGAATACGATAACATCGTTCGCAAGAAACAAGAGTTCCGCAAGTGGAACTGTGCCAGACAGTGAAGCAGCTAACCAACAAGCCACCCCTACAATGGCCACGGCATCTGAACATCCAGCGGGTGGACAAGTCGAAAATTTGCAAAGCAGGATGAACAGCGGTAATTCTAAAGACCAGTCACCCCCGGGTGCTCGTCCTCCAGCTGGGTCCTTGAACTCCTCCAAAAATGCGCGCGGCGATGAATACACAAAGGGCACTTTCGTTGGTTCTGGGAGCGGTCAACCCCAGGGGGCTATTGGAAACGACAAGCAACCTCATAAAGCCAGGTTTCTATTTGGCCGTGCTGGATTTCCCCGGGACAGGCCTACTTTAACAATCCGTGTCTCTCCATTTGACCAGCTGCTCATGAGACAGACATCTGAGGGATCCAGAAAAAGCTTATCTGGACAAGGGAACAAACAAATAATAGAAGAGAGCGGTAATGCAGCCAAATTAAAGGAGAAAGGGAAAGAGACAAATTCAAAATCCTCGGAAACATCAAAGAAAAACCCCCAAGAAGAGTTGGATTGATTACATGAAAAGAAAAAACAAACAATAAATTCCAAGAATGATACGACGAGAATTATGCAGACGCTTATGGCCACTGAATTGGTCACGGACCAGCTTTAAACCGCATGATACAATCCACATTCGAGATATATGTACAGCATTGAAGAAACAAACATTTTGATTTTAAGGTCATAGCTGTGACTCAATTGACAATAAATGAAAATTTGACAAAAATTTCCCGCATGTCCCGAATGAAATGTGCTTAAGCAAGCGATTTTTTGCAAAAAATGTCATTTTATTTAAATGGAGAAAGAAGTATTATTCAGATGTATTTTACATTGTTAATTCTATTGAAAATAATTGAATTTTAGACTAGGAATAATAATAATAATAATAATTATTATTATTATTATTATTATTATTATTATTATTGTGCATATATAGACACTAGAGACTGATAAAAATCATGCTTTCATGAAACATACTTAAATATTTTATGAAGAACTCCATTACATTCTTCAAAACATCTGAGAAATATTTAGCAAAAATAAAATATACTGTACAGACCAGTTGATTTTAATACATAGGTGCAAATGTGTATTAAATGTCTAATTTCATTTTATGTACAACACTTTACTGTTGAAGAGGGATCCCTTAACAATCTTAGTTGCCTGAGTGTTAATATGTGTATATTTACTTTGAAATAAATTATTTCACGGTATGACAAATTTACAGTGTTGTGTTCTTAAAATCCTAATGAAATTTATTTAATGAAGATGATTTGAAGACAGTTACAAAATGTTGAGTAAGGATCAAGGAGTAAATTTCCCTTTATTTTGGTCTTAAGAACTTGCTTTGAGAGAATTTAGTACGACATAATACCTCAAGATACGGGCAGAAAGAAAAAGCAGCGCTTGCGCAATCTTCATTAAGTAAATATATTTCTCCGCCATTAAATATAATGTTATGTGATATCTATACGTTCTATACAGTGAGAAAAACATTAAAATACTAAATATCCTAGTTACTAAAAACAGCATATAAAAGAAGGTGTAAATTTTGAGCTTAAGACATCTTTATTCCGACACCACTAGGAAAACTATTTATGAATACCTAAGAGACCATTCCCACAGATATTTGGATCTATCTATCTCCCTGGTGAGTCTTACTAAATTGCTGTCAGCTTAACCGGCTTTAATGTCTCTCACGCCTACTAAAAGTTGTAAGAGGGTAATTAACTTTTTCGTGCGCGCCCGGCTCCCTCTTAAGCTAAAAGCAATTTAGCGTCAACCCCCAGGGAGTTAGGTCGATCCAGATGGATTGATCTAAGTATGGGAACCCAGTCTAAAATACTACCACATTTTAGTAATGATACTTAATTCCAAGGCTAAGTGTCTCTGGCACGAAATTTAAGAAAGGAAATTAAATTGATTTTTTTTTATTATTCATTTTATCTCTGTGCCCGTGTTGCCGGGGTAATAATCATTGATTCTGACCTGACCACAGTTGTGCTGACCTCTCACACCTATCGCAATCCCTACACAAGCAACAAAGCTTGATGCTGTCACTCCGTTGTTTCAACTCTGATTGAATATTGGGCAGTTACACATGATTGGTTTGTAACGAGACAGTTCTGATTTGGCGAAGTGGCACTGATCGTTTGTCTCGTGACGGTTGCGTTACTGATATTCTGTCTAGTTACAGCAATGGCATGCAGCACGTCTGGGCTCCTCTTGCTGCCACCAGGGCTTTCAAGCGGCAAGACATTCCTCATGACAGGTTTCTTAGATTTTTGCCTGAAATAACGTTCAGGGTATCAGTCAGAGCTTGTCCGTATAGGTTCACCTTTGTAATACGACCAACAGACTGGAGATTCAACAAGTAATTGATACCGAAGATTTTCTATATCTGGTGATCTAGATGGCCACGATAGCTGTTTCTTCACATCCGCGGAACCCCCTTTAAATAATCCTGGGTCCGCCCCTGTATTGTAATCCTATATCTAAGATTTACTTCCATCGTACTATAACTTAAGATTCTTGAAGAGGATATGAATTATTTCACAAGCGGAAATTGTGTTATGTACCTAAAAATGGTCTTTAACTGATATGTTTTGAACCTGCATCAAAATAATGAATGACAAAACTAAATGGCATAGGTAAACTCCGATTTATTTTGATCTTGAAAACTTGTTTTTGACAAAATGATGAATAACATGATACCTTGGCATCGGCATCAGGAAAAAGGCAGCACACTATCTCTCTCCATTATAAAGTAAATTATGAAAAGTATTATGTCGTACTATATCTGAAAATATCAAAATAAAGCACAGAATAGTTTTGAATTAGAGATAAACAATGACACCTTAACTGAACTCCCAGTACAAAGCTAAAACAGGGAACAAAATATTAGATAATAAATACACGTATGTGATTTTTATATCACATAATTGCTACGTAAACCAGAGAAAAAATGACAGCCAATTTAAAATCTATAAATCAAAAATGCAAAGAAAAACAAGTTTTGCACATCTTACAGTACAATGTACAAGTAACAGTACAATTTGAATGACTTCAACCATTTAGAAATGACACAGCACACCATACATGTATGAAAATAGAAAACCTTGGGTTTTATTCTGTTCTTTTTGTGATCCCGGAATTCCCCTACTTGTAGGGGACCTTCCATTTCCTTAACACTTTGGCTATATAAGTCTGGTTTTTGACATATAGTCGTATAAATATTGGATTTGTAAAAAGAAACTAATACATCTAAATGGACACAAGCACTCACACAATATGTATAATCACCTATACAGTACGTGAAGTCCATTCTTCCCTTCAAATATTATGCATCATACATGTGGTAAAACGACATAAAATAAAGCCATTCATTAGAGATAAAACCATACCCGATACATTGATATATCTTTTAGTAAAAATAAACACTAAGTACAGAATGTCATGCAATATACCGATACATGTATATACATGTAAGTTCGTCCAAACAAATCGGCAATGATTATAAATAGTAAAAATACACAGTCCTTTTAAAATATTTCTCTTTCCTATCGTAAAAAATCCCATTTACACGTACATATACTGAAACAAACTGATTATCAGCCCCGCGATGCCGAGAGGACGGAGCATACCGGATCTGGTAACCTGGGCAGCGTTGCAATAGGACGACCTGCAGTAGCAATACTCGTACTCGAGTAAATAGTTTGATTTAACGCAACCAGTCGAAACACTGCTGCTGGACATGCACCCCTTGTTGATCACCTGATAACCTGTAACATGAGCAACAAACGGACGTTAATTGTATCTTGAAATCAAAACATGTACGTACATGTGCATGTACAAAAATCGCCTAGGCTTATATCCTTTACCAAAAAGTAAGACCAGAACCTATGACTGGGGG